CCCCAAAACCCTAAAACCCTAAAATCCTAAAACTGTTTCAGCGCTAGATACGTTTTCGATCGATCAGCTAGGAATTTGACGATCATTGCATGAGTCCAAGATACACACTGCAATAGTGCATCAACCTGGGATCGAATTAATATCACCGGCATTGGTATATGTTGTGCCGTAAGAAACAGCGACATACAAAAAGTAATATTGACACTGCTTGTCGCTACGTACACTGACACTTACAGTGATTCAATGATTAGGCCTTATAATTGTGTTTTAAAACTATCCCTCAAAGGCCGATCGCAAATTTTAATCCCCACATCTTGCGAATGATCTTGAAAGTTTGATCGCCGTGCACGAAATTGGAAAGCCAAGGTGGAGTCCGCCGGCCTTATACATATAAGCCGAAGACATATAGGGATTTGGACGATCCGGCCATCTGGTTGGGGGGTCTTCTCAAAGGATTTGGACGATCCGGCCATCTGGTTGGGGGGTCTTCTCAAAGGATTTGGTCGATCCGGCCATCTGGTCGGGGGTCTTCTCAGAACTTAAAGTGCACGACAATGGAACTTTCAACATTGCGACGATACCGGCGAAATCCGATTAGGTTGCGAGGGACAAGGTTCACGCGAACTGCTGTACGCTTTAGGCGGTCAACATTTTTCAGCTCGTCAACGTCAGTATGAGTCAGATTCCAAAATTCGATTCCCTAAAAAGTTCTTCAAACATAGCGTTGTAGAAGTAGCTTGCAACCCCGCCCCTAACTCCGCCCGGTTGCTTGATGGAGAAGTGGTCGGGGCATTTCAGCAAGATTCGTTTGCAGGATAAGATCCATTCACAGACCGCCACCTGTCGTAGGTCGGAACTTTGGTGTTAGGGGCGGCTCGGCCCTCAAATTTGTAGGCCGAGAGCTAATTTAGCTACCGGCTAGACCACCGGGCACTATTGCAGACTGTACATCGACTGGATTAATTGCCCGGTCCATAGTGTACCGCGCTGGTTCGACCGGCCTACCACTGTTGCCCAAGTTCGGAATATTCAACTGGAGTAGGTGATACCTAGGCCGGATTCGAAATGATATCATCCTCTTCAAGCAAATGTGTAAATGGTAGCAGAGTCGCGTACAACCGAATTTAAATCTACACTGACCGTAGAGGCTCACCCGTAGAAGTCGGTCGACCGTACGGGCCCGATGAAATTTCTGACATGAATGTAAAATTGGGTAGGTTCACCGCGCGACGCGTGTCCAAAATCAAATGTCGTTGCGTGCGGCGGTGTACCCGGATTTCTGTAGACATGGGCTGCGGGCAGCCATTGACACCATCGAAACTCCACCATTTGGCTGAGGTTCCGCGCGCCGTCGATACGAATATCTACGGTCATTCTACCTTATCCTGCAAACGAATCGACTTTCCAATCTGGCAGTGATAGCTTCTGCGGCCTCCCGAGTTAGGGGCGGGGTCGCGGCGTTCTTCAACAACGCTATGAAGTATCGAGACTGACTTGACTTCTTTCCGCTTGCACCTTAAATCGATTCAGTCAGGCCCATCAATGATTGTTTGTTACAGCAATTGCATGACTCCAGACTGAACCGAGTGCCGTTGTCTCTGTCTGCTATCTATTGGCAAGTAAAACTCTTGCTGCTACACAGGATTGTACTGGTCGAACCTCATATAAGTTGAGCGATCTCGTTCCGAGAAGAATCCCAGATTACATAAGCGGCTATCCAGCAGTCTACCCTCAACTTTTTTGTCACGTTCGTAGGGGAGCTGCGCCTCACTCAAAGCTTGATGTATGCAAGTTCCGAGATGGCGGGCAGGGACGCAATTTCGTTGAGGACCTCCTTGGCCGGCTCGTCGTCCACGCCGATGGCCATGACGGCCTGTTGCCGTGGCCCCGTGCGGCCGACGCTCATGAAGGAGACGTTGATGTTGGACTTGCCGAAGATGGTCCCCACGCTCCCGATCATGCCGGGCTGGTCCTGCTGCCGGCACAGCACCACGCTGCCCTCCAGCGCGATGTCCATGTTGAAGCTGCCGATCTTGGTCAGGTACGCCACGCCGCCCTTCACCGCGCCCACCACCGTGATGTGGCCCGGCTGCCCCGTCGCGCTCGCAAACTTGGACTCCACGTTGCTGATGTCGATCTGGATGCTCTCCAGCGGCGCCCCGCTCTCGCCCTCCCCGCCGTCGGTGCTCTCCTTGACCTCGCTGATGCGCAGCCCGCGCTGCTTGGCCGTGTAGTCCGCATTCACCAGGTTGATGAACGCGCTGCTCACCGGCTCAATGAGCCCCTTAGTGATCATGGCGCGCAGCAACCGCGTGTCCAGGTCGTCCGCGCTGCGGCCCGTGCGGTACGTCACGCGCACGTCCTTCACCCCCGCGCCGCCGCTCACGAGCTGCACCGCAATGCGGCCCAGCCGGTCCGCCAGCGACACGTACGGCTGCAGCTCCGACAGCACCTGCCACACCAAAGCCCCTAAGTTTGAGACGACCGAAAAGCCCACGCTGGCAAGCCAGGGCAGAGAGGGGAAGCAAGTGGGCGCGACCCCTTGGAATATGTAAGAACATGAAGGAACAGCCTCTGCCCAGGCCTCCAGGGCTGCTCTCAGATGTGTGGCGAAGCGCTGCGCGTTGGTGCACCCACCTCTGCTGGGACCATGGGCGCGTTGACGGCGGTGGCGGCCAGCTCGCCCTGCAGCGCACCAATGACGGCCTCCGCAATCTCCACCGCCACACCCTCCTGTAAACGCATGCCAACAGGAGTGAGCTGAAAAGAACCACCGACGCTCCTTCACTGGCCAGCACAACTACATTCAGGCCGTCTGCAGACATTCAGAGATGGCTCAGCCTCTGTCATTGGCCTGCTGACTGACTTTTGCTCAGCGGCGAGTGAAAGGGGCGCGGCGGCTAACCTGCGCTTCTGTGGTGCTGGCGCCCAGATGGGGGGTCACAACAACGTCGTCGCGCATGACGAGAGGGTCATCCGCAGGGGGCGGCTCCTTGGTGAACACGTCCAGCGCAGCCTGCGCACAAGAGCGACTGAGCTCAGCCGAGGACACGCAAGCCATTTGCTCGTCAAGCTGGCCCATATCTCCAGGGCAGGGCAGGGCAGGATGTAGGCATTGTCACCGATTAAGGGCAGCACACTCGATCCTGGGCAAGCAGGGCAGTCAGCTGGCGCAAGCAAGCAGGCGCACGCTGTTCCTGCTTGCTGGCCCGGCACGCACACTGGCCTGGTGGCCCGCACCTGGGAAACGATGCCGCTGTCGAGGGCGCGCACGAGGGCAGGCTCATCAATGACGCCGCCACGTGCAACGTTGATAATGCGCGCGCCGCGCTTCATCTTGGCAAATGTCTCGTCGTTGAACAGCTTGTCGGTGGTGGGTGTGAGCGGCATGTGCAGGCTGAAGAAGTCACCCGCGGCCAGCGCTTCATCAAAGGAGACGAGGTCCACCCCAATGGCGCGCGCGCGGTCGGCCGGGGCATACGGATCGTGCGCAATGACCTTCATGCCGAGGCCCTTGGCGCGGCGCGCGACCTCGGAGCCCACCTTGCCAAAGCCCATGACGGCCAGCGTCTTGTCCACCAGGGACACGCCCACGTACTTGTTGCGCGCCCACTTGCCTGCAGGCAACCAGGGAGGCAGGGTCACAAAAAGCGGCGTTTCAGAAATGAAGTGAACGCTGCTTCCTCCCTGATTGGCCGGCTGACTAGAACAGATGGACGCTGAGCCCCAGCGTGACCGGCAAAGCCCCATCGCGGAACAGAGTCATGTTGCCTGACCAACAGCGAGAAGGACATCAAGCAATTAACAGGAAGAAGTGCCACATCTTCTTAAGTTGACCACGCTCCCAATCCCCGCAAGTCGGGATTTGGCTTGATTGTGGAAACATTCATCTAGCATGACCTTGTGCCACAGTGATGTAACGAATAGATCCATTGGGAATGCTATCCATCTGCTGCAGGCCCCAATTGCCGCCTACATGGTGCCCACAGCTGCATAGGCAGGCAACAGATCTGTCCTGATGGCAGGGTGGTGGTACAAAACATTACCACCAAAACCTGGCAATCAACGAAGTAAGATCCGCCAGATCCTCGGCCAGATCTCCTCCTGGATCCTAGATCTCTGATTGGCCATTCTTGCCTTGAGTCACACCTCCTTCCACCAATGAGAGCTGCTGGGAGTGCACCGTCAGACCTGAGAGGTCACAATTGGACAGATCCCGCATGATGCGCGTGCACCCTCACCTGCCTTCATTGACGCATTGGCCTGCGCCACATTCCTGGAGAGCGCGGCCAGCAGCGCGATGCCGTGCTCTGCGGCGGCCACCGTGTTGGCGGTGGGCGCATTGACCACGAGGCAGCCCACCTCGGTGGCGGCCTGCAGATCCACGTTGTCGATGCCCACACCTGCGCGCCCGACCACCTTGAGGCGCCCGTTGGCGGCCTCAAACACCTCGCGCGTCACCTTGGTGGCGCTGCGCACAATCAGCGCGTCCACCAGGCTGACCTTGGCCAGCAGCTCCTCCGGCGTCAAATTGTACGCCAGATCCACGTTGGCGTACTGCCGCAGCAGCTCAATCCCCGCCTCACCCAGCTTCTCTGGCACCAGGATGGTCGGCTTGCCCTCCACTGACCCCCCCTTCTTGGCAGCCCCACTGCTGGGTGCGGCTGCGGCACTGGCCACCGCCCCCGCGATAGAGCTGCCGCGGGGCTTGCGAGCGGTCTCTACTGCCTCACGGATCACCAATTGGCCAAAGAAAGCCTTGGGGAGCGCCTCAGGCCTGCATTGCATGCGAGAGAGCGGTAATGGTGCCACATTGCTGGAAGTGGAGGAGAGGGTGCTGGGGCTTTTGCAGGAGGCTGCCAAGCTGTCAACGGCAGCGAGGCGCAGGCTGGCGGCGGTCAGGGCCATGGTGCCTGGGAAGCAGCGCTAAATTGCGGCCTCTGGTCAGCAGAAAGGAAAGTGTACTGGGCCGAAGCGAGATCTGGGGTGACGGGTCTAGCTTGGACAATGTCGCGGCATCAAGGCTCCAGCTTTGTCCCCTCCAGGCTCCAGATCTGCACAAGTGCATGTCCTGTACCCTGTCCTGACAACAGTGTCCAGGCTGGAGTCTGACACTGAACCAGCGAAACTTTGCAGGACCTACGCAGGCTACGGCTTCAAAGTTCACTGTTCAAAGCGCCAAGTCAAGACTGGCAGTGCAGTAGAAATATCTTGCGGGGAATCTTGACAAAGTGCATCAAGGTGAATCTCTGTACAGGCGGACCGCAGAACCGCCGAATAGCTGGGGGACGACCAAGAATCGCAGCGCTGCCGTCCAGATTTTGACGTCAAAAAATGAACGCTCGAGATCTTCTGTTTATTCTCAGTTAGGCCCGGTTTGTCCGAACGCTAGTATCGGAACCTGTCCTGCCAAACTTTGCGACCCCCTAGCTAAACTTTGCAGACTGGAGTCCTTATGTTGAGATCGGACGGTAGCGCTGCGATTCCGTCCATCGCGAAGTTCTGCGGTCCGCCTGTTTAGCATATCAGAGAACGACAGCTGGCGACTACAGCGTTACCGTCTGCGATGTCAAGGTTTTCTCTCGCCTCTAGTCTTCAATAATGGTGGTGGGTAGCCCCCGCCACATGCATTCCTGAGGGGGCTTCTGATCACAGGGGTTGCAAGTTGCACCACCTGTCGTCGTGAGCATGGCCGCTTCGCCCTACGCAGGCTGCCCCACACTCCCCCATCTCAGCAACGCAGCAGGCGCCTCGTGCAGCAGGTATCCAGCTAGGCTCGATCCCCCATGCACCGCTCTGGTGGGCCTTCGCGCGGCCGCCTGTAGGCCGCAATCTGATAGGCGCAGGTGCAGCTTGGCTGCAGGCAGGGTCAGCTCGTGGGCCAGCACATTGAGCGGACAGAAGCTGAGCTGGGGTGGCAGCATGCAGGCCAACAAGCCGCGCAGCAACAGGGGGGCGCGGTGCCAGGGGGATGATGATGGCTGCTACCCCGACCAGGACGGGCCGGGCAGCACGGTGTCCCTGTGCGGGGCAGACCTGGATGACATCCCGCACCTGCGCGACTGGGTGCCCGATCTGCAGGTCAGGCCCAAAAAACCCTCTTGATTAGATTCGCGCGTCCAGTTCAACAACAAAATTCTGGGTGAAACAGCAGACAGTGAAGGCTAGATCCAAGCATTCTTGATCCGCCCTGGTGCCACCATATCCAGTTCCTACACGCAATTGCCCGGTCTGATTGACAGGGCCGAGCTCAGCAGCCATGGCCTTCACCTTATGCACGGTTCCATTTATGCAGGAACACGAGAACCCTCTGAAGCAACACCCGGCATACCGAACCCGCAAGTGAGCCCCGACCACAATGCACTCTCTTGCAGCAAGGAAGCAGCCAGGGATGTACCCACCAGCCCCCTGGTCATTTGGCTTGCTGCAAGATGGGTCGGCAGACTTGGGGCCGCTGGTTTGCAGGGCTGACCCAGTGCGCACAGCTTGCTCCCAATGCTGATGAGTGGTGTTTGTGTGATGTCTTTTTGCAGCAACGATTACTTCATCAATCCCGGCGATGTGGTCACGCAGCAGGTCAGTCTGGAGCCGCGCCTTCCCCCCATGCCATGCTGCTTTGATGAACCCCACCCCTGTACTCCTTACTTGGTTGTTCTATTTCTGCCAGTTCATTGCCAGTGGTGACTAATCTGCAGCGTTGCTGGTCATGGATAAGAACGCCATCGTCCTGTAATTCCAAATCCATCTGCTGCTCTGCTTCAATGGCCAGGTCACATCTAATCAGCCTTTCCAACGTTTGCTCTCCTTAACTTTAAGCATGAATTGGATGTCTGACAGTCCAACAGCACAGTCTTTCCCCTTTTCCTTCTTGAAGTGATTGCCCTTGTAGGTGCCCTGCATCCTCCCGCTCTGTGACTCTTGCCCTGTTAGAGACGTTGAGCGGGCCTCCCCCTCACCCCCCCTGCTTCCCGCCCTGCAGGTGGTGGTCAACATGGACCGCCCCCGTGAGCCCACACACTTTCGAAGGGCCGGCCCCCGTGAGAAGGTACGGTTCACGGATCGGTGCAAGTCTCTGGGGCAGCTCTGGACATGCCTGCTCCCTCTTGTGTGCAGACTCTTTGTGCAACGGTCGCAGGCGAGGTGCTGGGCCTTTGTAGTGAAGCAATATTTGTTTGCTGTGCGCAGGTTGTGTTTGCTGGGGAGGAGGTGCGTGCCGCAATTGTCACCTGCGGAGGGGTAAGAAAGCATTCACTGCCTAGATTTTAAACAGAGCGGATCCTGACAACGTCGCCAGGTAGTTCGAGGCTGCTTGTGTCCCGTTTTGGTTGTTTCGATAGTTCCAGAACTGGCCCGCCAGATTTGATCCACAGCTCTTGATGGGCAGCATTGTTTAACATGCCCGTACGTTTGTTTGCTGAATGTTCAGGCTCGTGTGTCGCTCTGAGCCCCCCCCTTTTGTTTGCCGCAGCTGTGCCCTGGGCTGAACACGGTGGTCCGCGAGCTGGTGTTCAGCCTGTGGCAGCAGTACCACGTGCACGACATCCTGGGCATCGACGGCGGCTACCGCGGCTTCTACGCCAAGAACACCATCCAGCTGGACCCCAAGAAGGTGGGCGACATCCACAAGCGGGGGGGGACCTTCCTGGGCACCTCCCGCGGGGGGCACGAGACCACCAAGATCGTCAACTCCCTGGAGGACCGTGGCATCAACCAGGTGCGCACAGCAAAGGCCGCTCCGACGTGGTTCGCAAGCGACCGAAGGCGTCTGCTGGCAGTTGGGGACTCTTTGCCCAAAGCCCAAGTGTCAGTCAACGGAAAGTTTCTTCTGCACCGTCTCCTTACCTGCGTTGAGGGCATCATGGGAACGTGACTCGGCAGAAGAACACCTTAGACGAGAAGTAGAGGGCGGGCCTTCGGCTCAGGCCCTCCATCTCTTCGTTTTCCTGGTCGTCGGTCCATTCCGTGTTGCTTGCAACCCTCCAGCGACGGAGGGTAGTGACGTGTTCAGCTGGTGTGGCAGGTGTACATCATTGGTGGTGATGGCACGCAGCGGGGGGCCCTGGCTATTCACAAGGTACGTCGCTCCCTTGCTTCCTTACATGCTAGTGGGTCATACTGGGAGGCCCCTGTTCGATTTGCTTGCTTGCTGCTTCTCTCGTGGGCCTTGCCTGCTTGCCCTACTGCTGCGAGCCCCTCCCCTCCATATCCTGCCCGAGTCTGAGGCGGTGCGTTTGGTGGCGGTAATTGCAGGAGGTCGTGCGGCGGGGCCTCAAGGTGGCGGTTGCCGGCATTCCCAAGGTGAGCCGCATCTGCAGCCGCGGCACAGCGCAAATTGTGCGTCAACTGACCAGAGCGAGGGCTGTGGAACGGTTTACGTTTGCTTTCCTGTGAGGGGCTAGAATGTGAAGAAGGGGAGCGCCCCTCACCCGGGTCGCCTGTGTGCAGACCATCGACAACGACATTGCGGTGATCGACAAGTCGTTTGGGTTTGACACTGCGGTGGAGGAGGCGCAGCGCGCGATCAACGCGGCGCACGTGGAGGCGGAGAGCGTGGAGAACGGGCTGGGCGTGGTGAAGCTGATGGGCCGCTACTCGGGCTACATCGCCATGTACGCCACGCTCGCCAGCCGCGACGTCGACATCTGCCTCATCCCCGAGGTCCCCTTCACGCTCGAGGGCCCCGGCGGGCTGCACCGCTACGTCGAGCGGCGGCTGCGCGAGAACGGGCACATGGTCATCGTCATCGCGGAGGGCGCGGGGCAGGAGCTGATGGCCGCCGACACGACGGGGACCGACATGTCCGGGAACAAGCTGCTCAAGGACGTCGGCCTCTGGCTCAGCCAGAACCTCAAGGTGGCCCCCCACTGGATCGAGGCAGTCGCCGTGTGTCTACTCATGTTGCGTATACAGCATATGAGTGCTGTTCTGGCGCCGCCCTCGCCGTACGAGGCTGCATATGCTCAGTAGAGCGATCATTGGCAAGTTCGGATATTGTCCAAACTTGTTGTTGGGGCGACGGTATCTTTGACGGTTGATCTTCGTGCTAACAAGGAACTTTAAGTTTTGTTGCAGGACCATTTCACACAGCATACGAAGCAGGTGCTGAACCTCAAGTATATTGGTGAGCTGCCCTGCGCCCTTCCTTGCCTTGACAAGTTGGAGAATTCCTTTTAGACTTTCGACTGGACTCTGGCGCCGTCCTTTGGCGACTTGTCAGGGCTGGTGTCACAGCTTGTCTCTCCCCTTTCGACCCAAAATGTTGCAGCGGACTCTGGCCTCTGTGCCTGCGGCATGCTGACTGGCATGCGCGCTGCCTGCTGTGGTGCGCAGATCCGACGTACATGATTCGCGCCATCCCCAGCAACGCGTCCGACAACGTGTACTGCACCCTCCTGGCGCACAGCGCGGTGCACGGCCTCATGGCCGGCTACACGGGCTACACCGTGGGGCCCGTCAACGGCCGCCACGCCTACATCCCCATCGAGGTGCGCACTGCGCGCACCACCCAGCCACGAAAGTGGGCAACCGGCCGCTTGAGCGCCAGTTGAAAGCTTGGAGCGCCACGTGCCTCACTGGTTTGTTTCGTCGCCTGGCCCTTCCCCGGTGCGGAGGGTCCGCCTGCTGACGAGGCCCGCTTGCATGTGTATGTGTGCAGCGCGTGATTGCCAGCCAGAACCGCGTGAACGTGAACGACCGCATGTGGGCGCGCCTCGTGTCGTCCACGCAGCAGCCCGAGTTCACCTTCTCTGAAGCCGGGGACGACTCCTCGGCCAAGCCCACTCCCGAGCCCGCGCCCGAGCCCTCCCACGAGCCCGCCCGACGGCCCCCAGTGCCCGTGGGGCGCACTACCAACAACGGCGCTGCCGACACGAACTCGGTAAAGCGCGCTGGACGGCCCTCCGTATGCTGACCGGGGGTGAGGCCCCACCGCTGGGCACCCCCGCGTCAGCGTGCGCGCAAGCATGGATGCCGCTGCTGCAAAGACTCTGGCACATGTGACGGACGTGGACTGGTTTGATCTGAGGGTCTTGAGCATGCCCTTGCAAGCTCTGCATGATGCTGCTGCAAAGCGGAGGTTTGGTACGGCACGGGGCTGGCCCTGCTTTGCGGGTGTCAACAGCGTGTGTTCCCGCGTTGCAGGCTCTGGTGGCGAGCATGGGGGGCGGCGGCGTGGGGGACGTGCCCCCCGCCACCACGGGCACTGTCAGTTTTGACAACGACTACGGCGCAGCCGCGCAAGAAACAGCGGCTGCGGCCATGCTGGAAGGAGCACGCAAGGATAAGTGACGGTCAGCGCACGAGTGCCCCCGGGCTGGTGCGGCCCTCTGGGGGTGGGGCGCAAAGACGAGGGCCGTGTCAGCGGTGGGCAGTCTGGTGGCGCTCGTGCTGGTCGCACTGGGACCCAGGATCCTGCGGGCGCTCAAGCACTGGCTGCCGCGGTCCTGATAGGAAAGAGGCGACCCATAAGCAGCTAGCTTGTGGTTAGTAAGGGTCTTGCTTATGACGACAGGCGCATTGGGATCTTGTGAGAGCGGGCAGTCCGCATATAAGCGTGCATAGATGTAACCAGTTTTGGAACCGCCCCTAAGGAATCATTATGTCCAGGCTCTGTTGCCTTGAAGTCAGGTTAAACATACGAAGCCCCACTAAGTGGCCTAAGCTGTGTACATACGAGAAAGGTACGCAAGATCGAGTCTTTTTGTACGGCTTCTTTGATGATAAACTTGTGTTTTGTTGATAGTGAACACACCTGACGCGACAACAGTCCAGAGTTTCTAAACGTGAAAAGCAGGCTGGCTCACCGTCTCGAACGCTACTCAACCCGGCGAATTTGTTGGGCTGTGTTTATGCGGTTGCATCTCAAACATACAGGACGTTGAATGCCATGCCAGAAACCTATCATAGTATGGCCGCAATTTGGTTTAGTATGGTGTGTGAAAGAAGACCATGCATGCATGAATCAAATCGGTTTACGACGATGACAATCAATTGTTTCGCTCCAAGTCCGGGATCTGCACCCCGATGGCGGCAATTATATACTGGCTTGAACGTTGAACTGGATGGACCGTGCATACCCGTAGCTTTTCAACATAGGTAAGCTTCAATACGTTTTGGCGAAACTTGCATGCTCGATCCATGTAATATATGAAATATTCGATCGCCAACTTTTTTGATTACGTTGGCGAATTATGAGCGCCAGCGTGGCCGGATTTCATCGACAGGAAATTCGCACGTGGCACATGAACACATACACCGTTACGTAAACAAGGTTTGGCCCCACTGCCATCATTCCGTCCATATGATGCATCGAAATCTGCGTGATACTATGGCGCGCCTGCACGCACATGGGCGGGCTTGCCTGCCACAGGCAGCAAATTATGATTGTGGGCTTGACTTGCGATTCTAGCTCAGTAGAGCTCAGCTAGATCATGCAGATCATGCTGCACTAACTCATGCAGTGACAAACTGCTGATTATTATAAGGTTCATGCAGGGCCACGGGATCCTTTTCTTAACAAGCCAGGCTCTAGTCTGTTAAGCGCCAAGCGGCTTGCTCCCCACCTTCAAAAAATGGTGCCGTTAGTGACCCCAACCTCTAGCGTTGGTGTTGAAGTGAGCTCCTCGCTAGCCAGTGACGCTCCACAATCACCCTTACTTGCCTGCACCTCTGTGCGTCTGCTCCTCGGTTGAAAGCATCTCGCACGTTAGGCTGATACAGTAAATGCAGAGCTGCATCGTGGGGGCCATAGGGAGACTGAACATTGAAAAGAGGCCAATGGTCTTGCAACGTAGTAGAGCTTCCGAGTATGTGCAAAGCAGTTCTCAAACCAAACTCAAATAACTAGACTCTGGCTCATAATTACCATTTCTCCATTTCGCATCCTATAGACAGCCCTGCCACCAGCCTTGAGACCTACCGTGCGAACAGAGTATTGTTTCTCATGCCCGGCCGACCTGCCAAACAAGTGCACCAGCTGGTGCCTGACATCCTTGACTGGCACCTCCAGGACTAATGCATCCCCGGGATGAACGTCTTAACGATGTTCTTGGAGACGTCATCACGTCGCCACCCGCATGGCCAGCACAGCATCTTCTTTCGCACCGCCACAACCTCGATGGCGAAGTCGCACTCGTTTTCGACAAGGGCAGGCACCACCACGTTCCCCATCCCTCCTCAGCCAGAGTCGGGTCCGCTGCGAATTTGTTCACTGCCACATTCCAGCGACAACGTGACACCACCGCTAGCTCCTTTTCAGCATCGCTGCTGGCGGCAGAGGTTGCCAGCTGGCGGCCGCCTGCGGTCGGAGCGGGGTGCAGCCACGTCGGCCCCAAGCGCGGCCGGCTCGGGTTTGGCTTGGGCGGCCGCCCCCTGGGCCGGCCTGCTGTTTCGTAGAACCTCGCAAACCCCCGTTGCGCAGTGCATCACGACCGCGGCCGGCGAAGCCGCCGAACATCTTCAAGCAGACAAAGAGGTTCTTTGTACGGCGAGTCTGAGCTGGCTGTTGCCAGTGTTGGGTAACTTTGCGTTTTCACTGCGTACCGTAGTCCAACGTGATGATTCCGAACGATTTTATTTCGAATTATTTTCCAACAGTCCGACCAGGAAAGCGGAATTATTTATCCAGATTCCGACAACAATCCGAATGCCCTATGTTCCCAGTAAGAAGGGGATTTTGAGGCTGATTTTCGCCGTTTTGGGGCTTCCGAGGACCATTTCAGAATTGATTAGCCTTTCCGAATTTGCACTTTCCGAATGAGAAATCCGGATTTCTGACTTTCCGGATGCAAATAATTATTTATTTATTCGGAATCATTACCTTGGACTACGGTATCGTAGATTGGGGAACAAACGCCGCGCTCTGAGGACGAAGCGTCATCTAGAGCGCAGCATGGCCACCTCTCCTGCGCCCAGCGGCGCCCACTGGCGGGCAGGGCAGCCAGCAAGGACGAGGAGGGGGAGGCGGGCAGCATGCACCTCACGTTCGCGTATGGCTCCGCCGTGACGCAGTTTAGCGACCGGCGGATCAGGGTGCGCGTCGTGCCCGACCAGGAGCAGGCCGGCCGCGGGGAGGTGGGGGAGGCGGCCGCGGCAGGGCAGGACAAGGGGCAGGGGCCGGAACAGGGCCCCCCTACCACGGACGCAGCGGAGCAGCATGTGGCAGCAGACCTGGAGATGCAGCCTAAACCCGATCACGACCCAGAAGGTAAGCCTGACTTGTAGAAAGCGCAGATCGGCCGAATGAACGTGAAGCGAGAAAGCTTTTTGATTCAAATCTCTGGCAGTACTCTTTTGAGTAGGCTGACTTCCTGAACTAGGGAAGGTTTTGCTCTCAAGAAGAGCAGTCTTTGGATTGTTCAATTTGAGACTCAGGACCTCACTGAACAAACACGGCACCTCTGGGACAAATCTCCTTGAAGAAAGACATCACTTGAGAGCAGGGGCGCATCACGCATTTGTTCGTCCGCGCCAGTCAAGCTGGTGGTTGGAATATTTTTCTTGGACGGTCTTAGATGACGTCAGGCTATGTACTCGTTCCTCTTTGCTGACGGCGGCCGTGACGTGCTCCCTGGCTCAGGTGGTGGCGGGTACGAGCTGCCTGTGTCCAGCCTGGTGCTGGCCGCTCGCTCGCCCTACTTCCGCCAGATGCTCTCTTCCGACTGGCAGGAGAGCGGTTCCAAAGACCGCCCCATCGAAGTGGCGCTCTGCCAGGAAGGTGAGCCGCTCGAATCGATGACAATCTCTGCACGGCTAACATGACCTTCGACTGCGTAACCGTTTTTCTCCTCTTGGCGACTGCCCAGAATCAGCGGTGCATAGATTCTGGAAGCGCAGTATAATACGTACAAGGAGTGGGATACTCGGACCCTTGACTGAACCGAGCGATGGAAGATTGTCCATCCAAATAAGCGCGTACTGCAACCTTTATATAAACAGATAGGAAACCGCCCGCTGACTTGCGGCCGGCCATTGGTTGTAACCTGGTTGTAGAGAGCGGCAAAAGACTGTTTCAACCATGTGCAAGTTGTTGACGTCAACTACGATTACTTTTTCTTGACTGGACTTTCCCTTTTTCCTCTCGTCTACCCGCAAGGCAGTGCCAAACTGATTTGTAAACCAAGACTACTTATGCACATTTTAAATAAAAGCTTCAGCATAAAGAAACGAAAATAAGCAAGTCGTGCAAGCCGAAGTATCCAGAGTTGGACCACGATTACCGAGACGACTGAATGCTTAGAATGCGTCCTGCCTTTCTCAGTGAATCTGCCAACCAACTTGGACTCCAAAAGTTTTCCGTCCGTGATCAAGGTAGAAATTTTCCGCAGGCAAAGAATCTCTTCGTTATTTTCACGTTCCGTTGCTCTCCGACGCCCGATCATTACCTGCAGAGGCGGCCGTCTTCCCGCATCTCATCGAGTATCATGTACCGCCGCAAAATCCCCGCCGCGGTGCAGGACAAGGAGGCGCTCTGCTGGCTTCTCCAGGTGGCGGACCGCTTCGAGACGCCGGCGTGCGTGGGCCAGTGCGTGGCGCGCCTGCTGAGCACGGCCGTGACCCTGCCCGACGCGGCCCTATACGTCGCCCTGCCGCAGCCCCTCAAGACGCGCCCCGCGTTGCGCCGCCTCATGGACGCCGTGTGCGCGCTCACCGGCTGGTCATACGACGAGGTGACGCGCGCGGACAGCCTGGCCGCCATGTCCTTCGAGCGCATGGTCGAGCTCGCGCACACGCTGCGCGGGCAGGGCGAGCACGCGGAGGCGCTCTTGCAGCTGCTGCTGGAGTGGCTGCGGGCGGACGCCGCGGCGCGGTGGAACAGCTTCTCCGTCCTGCTGCCGCTCCTGGAAGTTCCCGGCCATGAGCGCATCGTTCCTGCGGGAGGTGGAGCGCTGCCCCGAGCTGAGCAGCCCCGAAAGGCGCGCGCTCCTCAAGTATGCCCGAACAAAAGCGGCTCCGCCGAATGCGGTCGACGTGCAGGTCGTCCCGCAGGACGGGCTGGCAGCGCAGGCGCCTGCAGGCGCGCCTGCCGCAGCAGCCCCAGGACAACCTCCACAGAGACAAAATGGGCGTCCGTGCTTAATCATGCTAATCCTAGTTATCGTGGCTATCTACATATGCTTGTTTATAATGGTCAACGATAAGCCAAAATCACGCAACAAGCATTGAGTGCATGAGAGGTTGAGTATACAAACACGTCATAATCTGAGACTTGTTCAGCTTCAGGCTTCAGTCATTCCGGTCATCCCACTGTTGCAGTCATCACATGCGTCATTTCGTTGTTTGAGCGCCACAAATCTCTTCGCCATACATGGTAAAGTGATGTCATGTATCCGCTTTCAAGAATTTTCAAGTACGTCACTGCAATCAATTTGTATTCGTATGTCTTTCAAGTTTTCCGTAAGACAATGGCCGGCTATTAGCTTATATAAGTTATTGCACCGGCGATGAACTTGAATTAATGCCGGCGGGCTACTAGCTCATATGATAACATCGTACGTACTTACCCATGCAATTTGCCATATATCATGCGCACATACCGCGCGTGTGGGCTGCAGTCACTTGCACATGTGAGTCCTTACATATATGCTGCATAAGCGTGCATAAGCGTATAATGTCACACAATGCGCCGTGAACAAGTGGACTGTGGGACTGGACTCCGGGATGCATGTACCTTCCGAGATTAGCTAGCCTGCGCGCGGCTGCCGCATGATACTGCCAAGTGACTGTGCAACAACGGCCTCCTCAATGACTCAAGTTCTCAACAACGGCTCTTTCCGCCTGCAATGGGACATTCCTACGCAGCGTCCGCAATCAGGGTGGCATCCCTCTCGACACTTCCTTGGGCCGCAGCCTGCCCGCTTTCCGTGCATCGTACTGTTCCCTCAGCCTGCGCGCCCACCCGTTCCAGTCAATCTCCCGCAGCGCGACGGCCCTCTGCTCCCACGCGGGCGGAGCCCCTTCGAAGCCGCCCCCCGAGACGGCCACCATGCGCGCTAGGAACTCGTTGCGGGCCTCCGCGCTCGGGTACAGCATGGCCGCCCGCGTCACCTCCGCTGTCGCCGCGTCCTCCTCCTCGGCTTCGCGCCCCTCGGGCACCACGTTGTCCGCCACGAACTCCCAGTCCTCCTCCGGCGCAACTGTGCGGCCCACGTGCAACCCGCGCTGCACTGCTTCGTGCGGGCCCCACAATCTGCTCCTACCCTCCTCCCCGTTTGAGACACGGCTCGAAAGCCCTTCCTCCCGCTGATCCCGCACGTGGGGCACCGCCTCCCCCGTCTGCGCGCTGGCCTCCGCTGCTTCTGGCACGAGGCCCCCGTGCGGCTCTACTGTTGCGTCCCCGTGGCCGAACATCCTGGCCGTCAGTGCGTCCAGCGCCTCTGCCGCGTGGTCCGGGCAGCCCTCGCTCACGTACGAGGTCACGGTGGTCAGGCACGTGTCGCCGTCGGGCGCAACGCCGCGGCGCTTCATGCGCTCCAGCAGTTGCTCCAGCGTGGCCGTGTCGCGCGCGATCGCGGCCGCGCGCAGCAGCAGGTTGTAGCCCACCACGTCGCTGTGTGCACCGGCAGCCTCCGCACGGAACAGCAGCGGCAGCGCCGCGCGGTATTGCCCGCAGAAACAGCACAGCTGCAGACAAGGAAGACAAACAGAGGGAGGCAAGTCAGGCGCACAACAAGGAAGGCCGCCCTTGTTGGGCTGTCACTTGGGATGACGCTCAGCCGGGGCGCAAGAGGAAGCAGGCACGGCAAATTCGAGGCAAACTCTCTGCTGGGACGAGGGGGAAGTGGCAGAAACTCAGAAGGGACTCGCTAAGCTCAGCACTAGGGTTAGTGCGCCAAGCACTTACTGAATGGCAGAGGCGCAGCAGCCAGTCTTTTCAGAGGGACGTTGCGCAAGCGAGGCCGGCTGCTCACTGACCTTGATGACGATGTTCAGTGTGGCACCGTCCACGTGCAGCCCCGCCCGCAGCGCTTCGTCCGCAAGGCGCAGGCCGCGCTGCAGCTCGCGCATCTCCGCGCAGCAGTTGATGGCCGCGTTGTAGGCCGCCACGTCGGGGCGCACCCCGAGGGCCAGCATGTCCGCCCACAGCGCACCCGCGGGGTCCAGCTGCAACCACACAGCGCCAGCTCACAGCATGCACAATCCGCCAGGGCACAACGACTCGGAAGGAAGGCGCACAGCCAGGGGAAGACGAGCGGGGCCTTCTTCGCTGGTCCAACGGAGGGGCGCCAATGAACAGGCAAAGACCATGCGCGCAGCCCTTGGCGGAGGGGTGTGGGGCCCAATCTGTGTGGGCTGTATCTTTGGAGCTCACCTGCTTGGCGGTGGCGCACACCCCGATGGCGACGGCAAAGAATGCGGCGTCCAGGGGAGCGGCGGCCGCGCTGTCAGGGCCGGCCTGCCGCGCATGGGCGACCCGCTCCAGCAGCAGCCCCAGACTTGCCGGGCCTAGTGCCGCCACCTGGCAGCGCAGAGAAAGAGGGCACTCAGGGCAGGCGGCACTGGTGTTCTGCAAAGACCAAAGCGCCTCCCCGGTCACGTAGGACTGTAGTGTATTGAAGTTCGCACCCGAATTGGGTGCTCGAAACTAAGGGACCTGATCAACAATGACAAACTTCAACCACGTGCTGCTCACCAGAGCTGTTAGCGTTTGCGGTGTGTGCCGCACTCCACTGGCGCGCATGTCCCCCTCCAGCCGCAACAGCTGCTCCTGCACTGCCCGCTCCTCACTTTCGCCGGCGCCAGTATCCCCGTGGCTGGCGGCAAGGCGGCTCCGGTGAAAGGCCTGGAAGAGGGCCCGGTAGGTGCACGCGTCGGGGGCCACGTGGTGTGCCCTCATCTGCTGGAACATTTTCATCGCGCGCTCTGGGTCTCCCTGCACACCACATGCACGCATTTGGAATTGACTCTTACCAACTGCTGACTGGTACGATTTAAGAGCAGATGTGGACACATCCGCGGACGACGCTAGGAGTGCCGGACAGTCTACCTCGTCTGCACAAGCACACCCCAGGTGCGGGGCTAACATGCCAGCAACCCCCTCATTGCTTCAGGGCGCTCTCTCCACAGGAGACACCTGCCCCCCCTCCGCCAGTGCCGCGCACCTGGTTTGCCCATGCGTCCAGCAGCGTGTTGTACGCAACGGTGTAGAAGGGCGCCTCCGTGGTGGTGGCGGTGGCCCCCTCCAGCAGCTGCGCGGCCTGCTCCAGCTGGCCCGCGCCCGCGTGCGCGTCGACCAGCGTGGCCACCGTGTGCTCGTCCGGCCGGATGCCGCCAGCCTGCATGCCACGGTACTGGGGACACAGCAACCGCCGGGCAACAGTCAACACAATTGCGAGTTGATTCACGTCAACAGGGTAAGTGACTTGCTCTTCAAGGAGTTGAATCGAGCATCTGTCCGTTCGATATTGCCCTTCCGCAAACGAGAGAACTGGTCATCACACCGGACGACCGACGGCACGGCTGCATGAGATGCCTGGCGGGGGCCCTCACCACGCGCTGTGTGTCCTCTAGGTTCCGTGTGGTAGCCACCGCTCTCAGGAGGGCGTTGTATGTGTAGCGGTCCGGCTGCAGGTCGGCGCGCCGCATCTGGACATGACCAAGACAGGACGGGTTCAGGCAGCTGGCGCACGGCCTGCGAGACACCCATGACCATCCAAGCCGCACTCCTCTTACTAAACGTGTTTCTCTCGAGCTCATCGACGGCTGCGGTAGCATCTCGGTCGGCCAGCCCGAGTCTCCACCCACCTCGGCGAACAAGTCCTTGGCCCTTTCCACGTCCTTGGCTCGCGACGCTGCGGCGATCACCGCATTGTATGCCACGCGCAGGTGCGCCAGCGTGCTCTTGCTCGTGCTGCGAGGAGGCGGCGCCTCCCACCACAGCCCACGATGCCGCGCCTCGCCCCCCTCGTCACCCCCATCCACCCCTCGTGCCCCCACCTCCTCAGGCCCCAGCTCGACAGGCAGCGGGCCAGCCCCGTCATCCACGTCTATGGCCGGGTCTTGGCTGCTTCCCGCCCCACCTTGACCCCTCTGCTGACCGCTCTCCCAACCGTCATCCTCCTCGCTGCCTCTACGGTCGTCCTGTGCTCCCTGGATCGTCCCGCCCCACCGCCACAGTTCCCGCACTGCATCGTCCAGCTGGCCGCAGCGTGCCAGGGCCTGGATGTACACAGAGCGCTGCTCGGGGGTGGGCACGCCGCGGGCCTCCTGCAGGGCCGCCCATGTGAGGGCTACTGTCTGGGGCTGCTGCTCCAGCCCCGCAATCTGCACGTGCACGCAACGACATTACGACGGGCATTGGTTTTCCTGACGTTTCCCAAATGACATGTACGGTAGATGTTTGGGCAAGCGACGAGAAGCATGCTGCACCAACAGCGCCCATTAGCGCAACTGGGATAGATATACAAGGCCGCCAGTAAGACACTCTGCCCACCGCTTCGAGCTGGTCCCCAACATCCGCTCACCTGAAGGAGGAGGAGGTACGTCTGTCCGTCCATGCCATAGTGGCCTAGCTCGTCCGCATAGCGCCCTGCAGTGGCCCAGTCACGGCGCGTAATGCACTCCCCCAGCAGCACGTTCAGGAAGTAGGCAGGGGAGCGCAGCACCCCCGCCTCGCGGTCCTCCAGGCTGCGTAGCGATGCACGTGCCTGCGCCAACCATGGCAGCGCCTGCATGGGACCAGCCCAGAGGAAACGTGAGCAAGCAGGCCCAGGGCTGAACGCAGGGCGGCAAGAGAGAGGCCCTGGCGTATTTGGGCGGAGGCAGGGCAAGGCCAATACCCACAAAGGAGGTATCCTTAAATGCAGATATTCTGCGCGCAATCATCGCCCAACGATGGGACCTGCCAGGACGGGACCACTTCACAACATCCCAGGTGAGCTGAGTCGAGTCTCCTCCCTTGTACCACCAGCTGTTGGCAAGGCAGTCAAAGAGTGAGAGGGCTCACCTCGTCCGACTGGCGTGCTCTCACAAACAGGCGAAGCATCCAGGCAACGCTCTTGGCGTCAGGGGTGACGCCATGCTCCGTCATGGTGGCATACACGTATAAACCCAACTGCACAGCAAACAGCGCACCAGTCAGACAACGCCGGCAAGGGGCGAACATCTGGCACCTAGTCTACCGGGGGTCTGGCAACAACTTGTGGGGGAGACTGCGGTTGGTCCTGCCCAAACTGAATGACATATGCAGCCGAAATGCACCTCGCTTGCCTGGCCGTCTTCTCACCTCCGTATCTTGCCCCCCCGCCGCGCATGCTTTGAGCAGGTAGTTGAAGTCCCTGATGGTCATCCTGCCCCGCTCCTCCAGCAGTCTGCGCAGCCCCTGCCTGGCCGCCTCCTTGTCTCCGCTGCGCACCACGTCCCACAGCGCCAGCAGCTGCGGGTCCGACGGCCGACTCCGCTCCGGCCGTGGCCCCCGCTGAGCGCTGCGCATCGCCTTCTCCACCATCGCCCACGTGTGCCCAGGGCCCTCCGCAGACTCACGCCGCTGGTTCCTACAGTCTGTTTGCCTGCTCCGCAGGAGGTTGGGGTTTGAGGAGGCGGCAGATCTAAAGGGGACATCCTGGGGTTTTGGGCTCCGAACTCTTTTTCCCTCCGCTTGACTGGACCCCGGTAGGCCCCCCTGAGATGTGTCTTGCCTCCCCTCAGAGGCCTGGGGTGCAGCATTGCATTCTCTGCCATCGGTGCCGCGTGGTGGGTGGCGCATCTCCTCCGGCCCTTCTGAAGTCCCCTGGTTGTCTTCAACCAGGGGCCCTGCGGTGGTGGAGCAGGTGCGCCATGGGCGGGGCCAGGGGGCAGTGCAGGGCACAGCAGCGGCGCCAGGCACCACCACCCCATCGGACAGCACAGGCTGCACAGAGCAAGGGACGTTCTTCTGCATCTCACACCTGCCCATTTCGGAACCAGCATCGCTTCACAACACACTGTTATGGAGCATTCTGATCAAGGATGCCCAGTGTCATTCTGTTGGATTCATGGACGCACTTGCAACCTTTTCTGCCAGCATGACAACGGTCTGCTGAATGAGGTCACACATTGATGACCCCTTCTCCCAGGCGCTCTCAAAGCAGTGGTCGAGTGGTGCCTTGCCCGCACCACCCTTCAGAAGCATACAGGGGGACCACGCAGAGTCTAGCAGATGACCATAGCGCCTGTGCCCGCACTTCACAGATCCCCTGCATCCTTTACATAGAACCTTTACATAGAATCATGCTCCAAGCGAACAGCGATGACCTTACCTGTTGATCATGCTTGAGCGACTGAGGCCATTCTGCACTGGTTGAACCGCCCAATGGACCACACGCGTTGACAGACAGATGATGCTTGATTCTGATAGGCCGGCCTGCCGCCAGGTGGAGAAGCCTCCGGCCAACAAAGAAGAGAGGCATACTGACGTGAGATGCAGTCCGCTAAGAGCGCCCAAACAATCATCTGAAAGAGGGCGGCTGCCCAATCGTGCATCGAATTCTGGATTTTTGCCCTGGAAGCTGGAACATATGGAACCATGCAATGATGCATGGCAGGCTGCATTCGAAGTTGAACTTGCATTCTCTCTGCCAATGCCAGCAATGGATCAGGCAGCAACCAGGTTGGATTAGTAGGGTGGGTTAGTGAGACCAGGGAGGTGGGGTGGGGAGAATCGGATCTCCTATTGCCGCTCGAGCCTCGATGGACCATCGAGCAAGTTCCGCCAGCTGCATATATATATATGGGCGAATTGCTCGAATCCTTACCTGGAGGGGGCAGTATTGACAGATATTCTAAACCCCCTGAAACTACACAGACCCCGCGCGGTTCACATCCTTGGGTTATAATACCGACAACTTGGGTTCAAGTTCGGCGGCCCTGACCGGTAGGTTTCGAATCGCTGCTCATCGAGCCGTCAAGGGTCCATCGGACGGACATTGTGTTCCCAATCGAGCTCCTTTTGCCCGGCGACATATGCTGTCGTCGAGCTCCGAGCTCGTGTTACTGCCTTGAGCTTGTTCGAGATTATATTCCAATTTTTCCCCACCCCCCCTCCCAGGGGGCCGTGGCGTAGTATCCTGCCCTTCAAACAAACCAAGTTGCTGAGCACTCGCGAAGACAGTGCTCAAACTGTCAAAGAACGGCGACGCTGTGCTGCATGCCAACGTCAAAAGTGAGACCAAGAGTGAGACTCAAAGGCCCACTTGAAAAGTGCTGGGTGGAAGGCGCTTCCCTAGCTTCTGTTGCTTCGCTCTCCTTATCGAATTCGCGCCTAGCTTTTGCACTCAGAAAGTGGGCGGAGAGAGAAGAGGATTGACTGTGAGGGGTAATCAGTCGCGTGGATTCTGGCCACGTTCCGAGTCAAAGGTGCCCAGAAGGAAGGACGGCCTGGCATTTGATGGGGGTTTTGCTGATTAGCATCAACAACTCCAATTTGAACTCAGAAGGCCCGGTACTTAGATGAATCAACGACAGCTTGAAACGGTGAACATGTCAGCTTGAGTTGCTGGCGGCATTCTGGCATTCAGTGCTGGTGCTCAAGAGGGGGTACGCCGGTGACTGCACATGTGCGCCCATTTGTACCAATCTGCCGGAGCGGTGGTACGGCTCAGGGACCCATAGATTAGTGAACCTTTGTTTAGCACGTCTGCAACTTTGACGACACTTTCTTTCCAAGGAAACAATCAGGGCAGTAATCAGGAGCAGGCGGGCAGCATCAGGGGGCGCTGAGTTTGTCCACGTTGGCCCAAGTGGGTGGTGCAGTCTTCAGGGGCGGCTGCCATGACTTCACCGGGGCCCACTCCCCGGACACGGCATCGGAAGAAAAAGTCAGCGTCAGCGGAGATCGATAGTTCGCAACTGGTAAGCCCATGGCTGGGCAGCATTAGCCGACACTTTCGTCCTGAAGGTAGCTGCCTCAGCATTCTTGTCGTTCCTTGAACAAGGTCAAGTTCTCGGACAGGGGATGCCATGTGGGCACAGGAAGTCGCAAGCACAACACGGGCTTCTACTATGCACGTGTTCCTCCTGCTTCACTCTGCTTACCCATCTCATAACATGTTCTTTGTTTACCCATCTCTATTGGACAGGGTGGTTCTGCCAGCAAAAAGGCCTCTACTTGGTTAGCAGTGTGTTTGAAAGTGGATGTCACATTCATTGAAGTTCTGTCCACTTGTCAAGCTTTTGGTGCCAGAAAATCCAATCTATAATCAAACTTCGTACTCTGTTTTCTGTACCCAATCACTGATGGACTGCCCGCTTTTCCCCTACTCCAAGGGCCCCCGCTCCTTTTCCCAGTACTTTTGTTTCATTCATGTTTCCCTGCTCTTTGGCACAGCGTTGCCCCTCTCTTGTGCCAGACCCCTCTTCCCTGTGCCCGTGCTGGATGCAGGGAGATGTCGGAGATGCCAAGGGGGCCATGGCGCCGCAGGAGGGTCAGGGCCACTCGCGGCGGAACAGCCACGGGCACGGGCATGGCCACGGGCTGCTGGTGGACCGGCAGGACAAGTACGCGAGTCTGCGCATCCGCGCGCTGAGCAGCGTGTGGATGATTGTCTCGTTCTGCGCGGTGATTTACCTGGGGCACATTTACATCTGGGCCATGATCGTGGGCATCCAGATCGTCATGGCCAAGGAGCTCTTCAAGCTGGCCGCCCTGGCGCAGCGCGAAAAGAACCTCCCCGGCTTCCGCCTCATCAACTGGTGAGCGCCCGCGTAGCACAGACTCTTCTGAAGGTAGGAAGCCCAGTATGTCAAAATTAGCCGGAAGTTGGAGGGCCAGCCCCGCTCAGTACTGACTACAAGCCCGTTGCATTCATTCGGAAGCAGCAGTTGCCTCACTTAAGTCTTTGCATAACCTCCAGGTCCTATCCGGTGGGAGACAACCCGTGTCCGGATAAGGGAAATGAAAACTAAGTAGCCATGCCTTATTCCGCAATGACGGACGTTGGAGCCCATTTCTTCTTCGAGATTTTAAGCATGATCTGAAGGCATCGCAACCTTGACAGGGAGCCCGTTCTTTGGTTGATTTCAATCCGGAAAACAAGTGTGTCTTCGCAGCCTTTTGCTGTTCACGAGGTCCCAGTTGACTTGCTTTACAAAAAGCTGTGGGTTGGTCCAAAGCTTTTGTACAAGCTTTTGTATGGGAACAGGTCTTGTGCACACAAGAATGCATGTTAGCCTGCCACTTGCTGGTAGGCGGGAAGTCAGGAGACACATCCGGCCCTGACGCGATCAGGCAGTTTGCGATGCAAGGAGGATTTGGGGGTCAGATTCCTCAAAACGGCCAAAAGTTTTCCTGTTCATGGAAGGGGCATACACACAGTAGCAGACGAACAACAGGTCTCCGGGCTATGCTGTATGCCCCAACCGGTCCGGACGTTTGCTTGGATTCGTGTGCCTGCGGTGTGCCTGGTCAGAAGCGGTGCTTGCGTTGCTGCTCGTGCAGGGCGATCTTCTTGACGGGCATGCTGTACGTGTACGGGCGCTTCATGAACCGGCAGCTGACGGTGACCATCTCGAGCGACCGCCAGCTGGCGCGCATCTTCATCGTCTTCCTGCGCTACCACACGCTCATCTGCTACTCGCTCTACATCGGAAGTGCGCGCACCAAACTCTGCCTTCCCAGTTGTACACTCGAACAATTGCAATCTGGGCTTGCTTCAAAGGCTGTCACTGGCTGCCCTCATCAACGTGCGAGCTGCGTTGTGCTCTTGCATCCAGTGGGCTAGGTCCTATCTCGCCGCCAACCGAAGTAGTCCCTTTTTTGTGGTAACCTCCCCAAGGCCCAGCCCGCTGCCCCATGCGGGGCTAATGGCCCCCATGACTGGCGCACGTGCAGGCACGATCACTTTCATTCTGAGCCTGAAGAAGGGGCTGTACCAGTACCAGTTCGGGCAGTACGCGTGGACGCACATGATCCTGTTCGTGGTGTTCACCCAGAGCGCGTTCACGGTGGCCAACGTGTACGAGGGCATCCTGTGGTTCCTGCTCCCCGTCGCGCTCATCATCATCAACGACATCTCCGCGTACCTCGTCGGCTTCTTCTTCGGCCGCACGCCGCTCATCAAGCTCTCGCCCAAAAAGACCTGGGAGGGCTTCATCGGGGCCTCCTTCATCACCATGGCGGCAGCCTTCCTCGTAAGCCGCCCAACCCCCGCCTCTAGTTGCGCCGACCAGCGCAGCACGCCGCAGCCCCTGCCGGGGCCTCCGTAAATTTGGGGCCCACAGCAACGGTTCTCAATCACATCTTTACTATTGGAGCGCGTGTGGATGGGCAGCTTCACAGCGTAGGGTCTGTCTCCTGGCAACCTGCACCTGTGATCCGCTTGTCCTCAGTACTGTGCCTTTGAGTATAATGTGCCTGCCCTCAGCTCTGACCAATATCGACTCGTTTGCCGTTTTGACTCAGGTGCGAACACGTCCTTCTGCTTGCCACTTCCACAGTGTCGATTCCATAAGCTAAGCTTGGCTTGTCGCCCCGCCTTGCCCCAGCCTGTGACTGCCCGTTCGTTTCGGCCTCTAACTCCGCTCTCTTGCATGCTGCCAGCTGGCGGGCATCCTGGGCCGCTACCAGTGGATGACGTGTCCACGCACCGACCTGTCCACGGGCTGGCTCACCTGCGACCCGGGCGAGCTGTTTGTCCTGCGCCACCTCAAGCTCCCGCGCTTCCTCGAGGCGCTGCTTCCAGACTGGGTGCGCACTTCAATACGCTCCGCTCCTGTTTTGCCCCATCCACATCAGACACCTGGCAGAGATTGAGTTTGACGCATATGGACTTTCTTCGCCGAGCGGCCCCTCCCTTTTATTCTTTCTGGATAAGGGATACAGCCCAGCTCGGATCGAAAATTGACCCAAAAGCGCAGATCTGAATGACTAGGCAGGGTCAAAATCAGCGAAGTTGCGTCCATTTACTTCGACTAGCGATGCCCCCAAGCCGCCTTTCTCTTCTTTCGTTTCTTCGACTGCGCTCATTGTCTGATCAAGACCCGCTTGACCTCGTATGCCCCGAGCGCTGACTGGGCGTGTGTGCGGGTGCAGTTCCGGTGGCAGTCGTGGACGTATTTGCCCATCCAGATCCACGCGCTCGCGTATGGGCTCATGGCCAGCAGCATCGCCCCCTTCGGCGGCTTCTTCGCGAGCGGGTTCAAGCGCGCGTTCAAGATCAAGGACTTTGGCGACAGCATCCCGGGCCACGGCGGCATGACGGACCGCATGGACTGCCAAATGGTCATGGCCGTCGCGGCCTACATCTACTACCAGTCCTTCATCGCGCACCGCAGGCTCTCCGTCGACAGCCTGCTCCCGCGGGTGAGCCGCGACCCAAATGCCCACCGCTTCTCTACGTTCGACATATGCGTCCAGTCGGTGATAGGCCGAAAGCACCACCTTGCGGGTCCCAGGCTTCTTTGCTTTCGGGACTCCTTTGGTCTACGACATGAGGGCTTACTAAGATTGCTCTTTGATCCAATCTCTTGAATTTAAATGGTGGGCAAATGCTTGCTCCAGAATCACTTGGGGTTCTCTTTCCATGGTCGTTGCTGGTCTTGCAACTGTCACTTTAAGGCACCTTAAGCCCATTGATCGACGTGAGCTGATATCTCTTTGCTGGTTGCTGCGCAGATCCTGAAGCTCTCCACGCAACAACAAGTAGAGCTGTATTACAAACTCGGGAATATACTACACGGAGAAGGGATAACATTCTAGACGTGGGACGTTTTCGTTCTTGCCTGCATAGCATACAAGTCGAGGCACTTCTTCGGCTGGACTTCCTCAAATAATGGGTCATTGCAACGTATGGCCAGAGAGCGAAGAATCGTCGAGTCATAAGGCTCCCAACCCAATGTGCTGCTAGAATGCACGTATCTGGGCCCTAATGTTCATGTATGTGCATGTTGAAAGGCTTGAGCTTAATATGCTGTTATAATGCACATGATGCGCACCGATTGACTGTTTCAATCGTTTTCAAAAGGCTCTTGCCAAACCTCATGTGCGTTTACAAAACCTTATATTAATAAAATGCACGACTACCTAACATATGTTCAAAATTACTACTGTAGTAAACGTGGCCAGAATTACGTCCTAGAAATATCCGACGACCAGGCATGCAATGCCCTACATCACCCTACGGTATATGCACTGCAATTCGAACTTGGAGCTCGGGCGTGCGCGCGCTCATATGACGGTTGCCGAATGATGATCGCACCGATTCAAAAGCCAGGCCCAGCTAGCATGGCGTGACTCCGCTGGCAGTGGTACTATGGTATGCTCTAACTCTGTGGGACTAGAGTTGGAATACTAGAAGGAGCAGAAGCAGGCGCATTTCAGCAGTTGAGCGCTACACGGGCCTGCAATCCAATTCAATTCTGCGTTGACGGACGCTTGGCCCATGATGGAGTCCTTCATTTTGCGTCGCAGCACTCTTAGCTCGGGCTGCCATTGCCTGGCTGGTGCAGGACAGGCATCAAGGCAGGGGACGGCTTCGCTGCGGTCGGCCAGCAGCGGTGGCCTTGTCGGCTGGGTGGAGAGCATCTGTGGGGACAGGCAGCGGCTGCAGAGGGGCCAGGAATGTGGCCCCAAAGGAAGGCGTAGGCAAGTGCGTGCAGAATTGCGGAAAGAGCAGAGTAAGCAGTACGAGCTCTTCAAGGAATACGAGAGCATCCCCGGGCGGGGTGGCCTGCTGGGAGAGAGGCAGAAGGAGAATCCAGCGCTGCCAAAAGACCCCAACAGTGCAGAAGGCTGGGCGCAAGTGCCTGCGGTGAGACAGGGGTCGTAAGCTGACTCAGAGGATGGAAGAATGCACTCTGTTGACGGTGCATTGTGAAATTTGCCAAGATGCTAAGAGTTGCATCTTGTTGAGACGTTTAAGCTGAACCCTGCAAATCACTGAGGTTGTTTACCAATGCAGCAGAAAGAGGAAGATGGTATTTGAAATTGTCATGGTCTGCTCCCAAATTCTGTGCAATGGGAATATCTTGCAAGCCCTAGTGTTTAGCTGCTCTCAGGCTCGTTGCTTGCATCCTGGCTTGGCAGCCACGCACATTCCTTCGCTTGACATCGAGCAAGTTTTCCAACCCCTCCACATCTCCAAATTCTTCAAAATGTCTTTAAGTGTGCGCCACTTTGCATTGGTGCAGGGGTATCTGCCTGAGTTTGCGGACTACGGCATCTTTGTGCGCGGCGACGTGCGCGTGTGCATCTGCCTGGTGGCGGGCGGCGTGGTGGAGAACCTGCTGTTCTTCCCGGTGCTGGAGCAGCTGCGCGCGCGCTACCCGGGCGTGCTGGTGGACATCTTTGCCAACGAGCGCGCCAAGCAGGCGTACGAGCTCAACTGGATCGTGCGCCGCACCAATGTGGTGCCTTTTGATGACCGGATGCTCGTGGGGGGCGACTACGCCGACTTTGTGGGCAAGATGAAGGTCAGGGCACCCCTGTGCTGTGCAAAGGCAGTGCAAGAGTTGGATGATACACAGAGCAAGCCTGCAATCATGTGGCGCTCTTGTCTTGTCATGAAAGTATGTAGCCATTGATTGGCTCTTATTTGGAAGCAGATGAACTTCCGCGGTCTTGCTTGATATGCAACCTGTTGCTCAGCGGAGCACTCATCACTGCCGTGCATATGCTTCAAAATCAGAGAGCAGGGCCATGGCTGAGACAGTTTCTGTGCACTGTGTGCAGAGCATCTACGCCGAAATGATCGTATCGACACGGCCGGCGGGGCTGGGCCACGCGGTGACGCTAGGCTTCTCAGATGCGCGCCTGCAGATGGGCTACGTCCTGCCCAACGTGAATGGGGCCGGTGCTGCCAGGCTGTTGACCAACCCCCTCACCGCACCAGTGGTGGACATCACCACCCGGGGGGTCAACATGTAAGGGATGGCGGCATCGTGATGCCCCCGCAAGGCTGATCTTTGAACTCGATGGCTATCAAAGCATGCTGGTGAAAAATGTTTTAAGTTCTTTGAAGAGATCGAGACCAGTGAAAGAATCAGCAAGAATGCTGACAGAGTCAGACAATAGCTTCCTTGTTCAGAAGGGCGCAAGTGATTTTGCAGTGCTTGCTCACGAGCAATAAAGTAGTAAGACACTCTGTCACCCCTTCGCTCCGCTGTGCCCCGCTGCAGGTACTCGGAGATGCTGGAGGCACTGGAGGGAGTCCCTGAGGAGATCCCCCCGCTGCGCATTGCCATCTCAGACACGCTGCGCGAGGTTGCGACGTACAAGCAGGGCAAGGCGGGCGTGGCCAAAGGCGAATACCTGCTGGTGCACGGCCTGCAGTCAGAGAGCACAGCCACCATGGCGCCGCGGGGAGACACCGACTGCCTGCTCGACCTGCCAGCCTGGGCCGCCATCCTGCAGAATGTCAGGTGAGGCGGCTGCGGGGAAGCAGGAGGTGCAGCAGAAAGGGTTTGGCTTTCGTGGCTGCGTGCTGGCTTACAAAGGTCAATGTGCTGCTAAGGGAAAGGATTGTGTAGGCCTCCCTCGCGCTCCTTCTGATGATCACATTGGGGGATGGACGAGCGAGGGGGCAGTCTTGTGATTAGGAATTGGCAAGGAAAGGTCCCAATCAGTTGTGCTAGAGTCCATCTCGACTTGTACTGCTAGCTCTCAGCAGTGCTTGTTTTGAAGCCTTTGCTGTTTAGCCCAGCTCCCAATATGCTCATGTGCGGTTTGGTTGCAGCTCCCCCGTGTTGTTCTTGGTCCCCCGGGAGAAGGACGTGGCCCGCGCCAAGGAGGCCCTCCCCTCCAACGTGCGCGTCCTCTTTGTCTCAACTCCGGGACAGGTGAGCACCCTCCTCGCCCCCAGTAAACCACGATGCCAATAGGGACTCCCGTCATATCGTCAATGCTGCAGGTCCAAGGGGCCTTTGCTGCCAATGCAGATGCTGACTTGGGCGCCCTGCCAGACCGGGACTTCTGAGCAAGCTGGACACTGTAGCACACTCAAATCGCAAGCCCTGCTTTGCTCTTGATCCGATGGCTCCACATTCATTGTTGTCGAGGAAGCTGGAAATAGGTTGGTGGTGAGAACAGGGCAGGAAAGGAAAGACTTGGACTGCGTTTTGCCCACGATATGACGTCCAGCCCGAACACGTCATTTATGCTGGCCGTATTGCTGCCACGTTGGACCACCTGTGTACGCATGCGCAGCTTACATCTAGCAACGGTTTCGGCTGCACTCTAAGTCTGACGTCACGGCCTTGGGGGGTTTGCAGCTGGCGGTGCTGATCGACGAGAGCGCGGGCGTGCTGACCACCAACACGGCGGCGCTGCAGCTGGCCGTCGCCGTCCAGAAGCCCAGGTGAGGCGCGGGGCACGCAGGCCAGGGACTCAGACTGCAGGGATTGGAAGCGTCTCAGCAGCTCTAGCAGAGGTGGCAAAGGGCTGCAAGGAGAGACAAACACTGTTCGCTGTTGGTTGGAGGCGTGGTTTGAAATGTTGCACTGTTTATCAAGCTTCTTGTTCTTGAGAGAAAGTCTTGCTGAGTTCCACGCTTGGTGCCCGCAGTGTTGCGTTGTTTGCCACGAGCGACAAGGCAGAGGCGTTTGCTCCGGACCCGGAGTCTCGGAAGGTCCACGTGGTGGTGTCCACAACGGGCCGGCTGGCTGACGTGGACGCAAAGCAAGCAGCGGAGGCGGTGAAAAGCCTGGCCAGTCAGCCAGAGCTAGCACTCGCCTGAGCACAGCTTTTGGATGTTATACCAGATCTCTAGATCATTATCAGGTAACCAGCAATAGTGTACGGTCTATACTAGGATTGCAGAATGGTCGACCCCCTGGACTCTTGATGGCTGGTTGAAGCTGGTGTGGAAGTCGAGCACCTGGATTGATTGGAAGGTTCGTACTGTTATTGCTTGTTCATGGTTCTCGTCCAGACTCACGGCTAAGGTTGGTCAACTCTCCATACTGCTTTGAAGGAAGTTTTATCGGGCCCCGGACCTGGCAGTGCTTGGCATTCATTGAATTGAAGAACTATGATCTCTTGTCGAAATTGCTGAAGCCAGATTGTATAGGCCATACTTAAGGCTTCTTGCATTGGTATGACAATTCCAACATGGACTGTGTGCATGTCTTTCGGTCTATCATAGACTCGGACTTAACAACCAGCATGACAGTGACATGCCGCCCATGCAGAGCCTAGGGCCCGGCTGGGTTCCGATCATCATCCGTTCGGTGCTGAGCTTTAACAAGAATTGGTTGTCCGACTCAGTTCGTCATTGTCAGCAGCTATACTCGATATGCGTTCAACGCGCAGCGTCTCAAGGTCGATCTATACATGTGCGTACGATCGATTGGAATCTGAGATCTTAGAATGCATGGTCTTGCGTTAAGGGCGCCGGCCAGCCCATGTTTTTGTACGCACGACGTACATGCATTTCAATGAAGGTCACTAGTCTCATGCATGTATAGTCTATGCTATAAACGAATGCATCAGTGACTCAAGCTAGACGTACAGAACAATTTGATGCCGCAGCCGCGCTGGCTTTAGGACGCGCAATATTAAGACGTTGAGTCCAATTGCTGCCATTCGTTATGCATGGCATGGCCGCTTAAATAGCTTTCTTCAGACGGTACGTACTTTGAACCGTACAGGGCCCGGCCTGGGTCGCGCCATGTGAGCGGCCGGTGCCACTGACTGCGATGCAAGCGACCTCATTGCTTGAAAGTATGCATATGCCACGTCCTGGCTGCTCGTTAAAATGAGGAAGACGTTGTGCAGTGCACGTACCTCAGGCTGTTGCATCAGCAGAGCCTCATATGATTACGGTGGTGTATACACCGGCTGAGAAACATCCAAGATGGCCACAGGTCTTATCATTGCCGCATACTGCTTGCAATTGATTGCTGTTGTCAGACACAATCCTGCTAGGTACCAAGTACCAAAAGCAAACTCTAATCTACTCTGAAAGAGATTTCCGAGCCTACCTGACTAGACCTGCACTTCGTAAACAACAGAGCTCCAATTGAAAGGGTAAGAGAGCGCCTATTTGCTTATCCGACCTCGCTTGATACTATACACACCGTATCAGAAGCACTGGATAGACGCAACAATTCCTGAACCACAGATCCACACCCCCAGGCTGTCCTGTAGACCTACCGCTAATAGTAATCAGTTCTTGCGTTGCCTGATGAGCTTGGCAGTCGGGACTTCCTACCGAATGCCGACTCTACTTGTTGTGTGCATGTGGATCTGCGTCGACCTATGTAACCACGACATGGCTTGCTAAGAATGCTCCGAGGATGACGACGGCTGTTGCTTCCCGGACTGCTCACCCGTTTGCAGCTGCAGTTCCTTCAACCGCACTGCCGTGTTGGCTTGCAAGTGCCGCAACTCCGAGATGGTCTCCAGGCTGTCCTCGCGATCCTGCAAGCGAGCAGCACGGTCAGAAGCCGCCTCAGTCAGGCCCCACTGTTTTCTCAATCGACGTAAGAGAACAGGTCAACCGACGAGCTAACAGGTCACCCTTGAGGAAGTCATCACGACGAGTGAGACAAAACCTATTCTTGGGCCAGATGCTACCTAACAAAGATCCCTCCGCAGAGACAGAGACGAAGGATTGTACTTCGACAGCTGCTCTATTGAACCCTCACCTGTTCAACCCGTTTCCGAGACCGCTGTATCATCTCCCTCGACTCTGCGGTCAAACCGCCATCCGCCCCTGGGCTTTCTAGGTCTTCTTCCCCCAGATGGTGAGCACCTCCACTGTGAACGCTCGGCCCGTCGTCGTCCAGCTCAGACTCCTCGTCCAAGTTCTGGCCGTTGAGGGTCCGTAGGTCGGGCAGGGCCTCGCACACTTGCTTGGTCAGAGTGAGGTCGGAGCAGCACGGGTTGTTGCGCAGGTCAAGAAAGGACAGCCCCGTCGGGAGGTCCGCTCCTGGGGGGGGATGTCAACGAGCAGTCAGGGGACCACCACCATGGCAGGGGGGACGCCAAAGGACGTGGTCTCTCCATGTATGCGAGGCCCCCCGCTGCGGCCAACACACTTCAGAAACTTCCAGAGCACACTGGAAGCCCAACAGTCGGGGCCTTGATGCAAACCATGGCTTTTCTCGAGCAGACGAAGGAGCATAGTACAGCTGCACTCTGTACAAACAGCCTCTTGTCTCATGCATCACAGCTCACAGCCGAACTGGCAGAGTCCCTCTTCTCCCACACAGAAGCATCATAGGTACGGGTGAGTGAAATTAAGTTGCTCACCAGGATTTAAAGAAGCAATCAGATTGTCTGATACGTCCAGGAATAGAAGCTTTGTCAGCTTCTCCAGCCCTCTCGTTGAGGTCAGCTTGTTCCCCGCCACCGTCAGGAACCGCAGGTTGGTCGCTGATGCCAGTGGGAGAAGCGACTCGATGCGGTTCTGTGACACAAAACAACTCGCAAAAGCATCAGAATCCCATTCACCTCGTTCGGAAGAAGACCTGCAAAAGGTGGATGTACATGGCAACTCTCTGCAATGGAACAACCAGGCAAATAGAGCGTATCGCACAGATTCCTGGTAACGTGACTCGTCGAGACGCTGTTCGCATCACCAGGCAAACGAGGCCCATTGAATGATAATCTGGACCGCTGCTGCAAAGCATGACGGGAGTAGTGCAGGAAACAGACATAGCAGAGCGACAGGTTTTGGACCAGCTGACCTGTTGTAGGTACAGGTTTGTGATGTTTGGCAGGAGAGGCAGTATCTCGCCGCTGATGGACACAATATTCTCTCGATCAAGCCGCACGTGCTGCAGCTGCTTCACCCCATCTTCGCTGCAAAGCACAGGAGCACGTCATGTGCTAGGATACCATGGCTCCCCGAGCTCCACCAGACCAAGGCTAGTGAGCTGACAGATTATGCTTCAATGAAGACTTCTTCTCGAGTGGACTCCAAAAGTCGACTTTGCTGAGAATCGCAGCTGGTAGGCGCACCACTGAATAGCTCATGTTTTGAGAGGACAAAGTTCCACAACAGTAAGTGCAATAGAGCAGCAATTCTGAAGGAAGGAACACTTGACCCAATGTCCAACCCCGGGTGCGAGAATCTCACATGTCGGGGCCCGTCCCGTTCTCCAGGATATCACTGCTGAGGTTCCGATCCGCGATTGTCGATAAGAGGATACCCACGGCTGACTGAGAGCTTTCAGCTGCAGATGGAGATTCCATTGCTGAAATTTAAACTTGGAAGCTTCAGATCTCAAGTTGTTCAGCTCTGCTTGCGCAAATGTATAAAACCATCTCTGGCATCCAAAGCTCAGTTACCCTTTCTGATTCACTTCTGCGATGGGCAGCTGGGGTCCTTCGCCTTATAGAAGAGAGTCGGAACGGGCTTCACGAACTAACCAAAGTATCGCATTCAAGCGATCATGCAGCTTGCAATCAGATGCAACATGGGGAGCGCTTCCAAGTTTCACTATTAAAGCTACAGTAGAACAAGGGACTCGTGTGCATTGCCACCATCGTGTGGCACATTGCCAACGCCAACTTTCAAGTTTCAGATGGTCGAATCAACACCGACAGTCAACTGCGTGCGCATTTTAGGGTTTGATCATTGGACGGCTTCATCCACGGGTCCTCACCTAACGATCAAGCGTTCGATTCCTAGCAACAGCAACAACGTCAATTCATTGAACTATCGCGTCTATCAACTTTTTGATGACCGTGCATGTTCAATGTATAGATGAAGTTCTACTGCCAAGAATTGAAGAATCTACACCAATCGCGTCAACGGGAGGGGAGGAAGAGGGCCTCCTACCCATGTACTACAGGGGGTGCTTCAGAAGAAGTCACCACCGGGCTGACTAACAGACTAAGTCGAAAGTAGAAAAGTAAAACAATCCCCCTCCACTCGTGATCAACGGGATTAGGTAGGGACTCAGTTGACTACGGGCTAAGCTAGTCTCGGCTAAGTCAGGGCTTCAGGGGCCGGCTGCTTGCTGGGGTGCCATTGTTTCGCTTTCGACTTGGGGTGCCATTGTTTCGCTCGCCACAAGTGCGTTGAAGGGCTGTAAGACAAATACGTAGACGTGACACAACATGCATTCGAGTGTGTGCGCAGCCATACCGAAAGAAACTATCATTATCCGCTATGGTGTACTACGCGGTAACCCTGCCATACTTAACCTAAAGTAATTTTCGACTTGGCCGGATAACCGGCCTCCTCTGGCATGCTGAATTGGAGGATCAGCACGTAAACACTCATACATGTGTCATGTATGCCATATGAAGCCTATGGCATATTTGGCTATGGCGAGAACGAAAAAAGATCGGACCGTGTCAGCTAGCTAGCAATCATTCCTGACGGCCAAGCTAGTTCCTCAAAAGTTCCTTCGGCTTAGAATAGCTCATGCAATTTCATTAAGCGCTTTGAACGTTTAAGTTCACATCACACATCATTCCTCGATCCTTCACTGAGTTGGAATGCATATGAGAACGTTGCTGCATGATCGAGTCAGGGCCTGTGATCATGACAAAGCTTTATTGTTCGTCAGAATCGCTGCATGCCCGCTGCCACCATGTGGCGATCACGCCATGCCCGGTGAACATGATGATTACTCGAAGATACACAGACGATAAAGGGAACCCCATCACCGACGGACAACGGGATCATATGAATCATCGATCTCAATGTACTGCATATGAATCCACCAGGCCCGGTTGCCAGTAAGAGAAAGGCTTGTCGCTAGGTTGACAATACTGCTTATCGAAGCTATCAAATATGTATGTTTGATCATACAGAAGTTCCAGTAGCCGCCTCTAGTGTGTTTACAAACCCGCAACGGACCATAGCTCTATGTCTCTATTTGCTCAATGTACACACTACAGTGGCTACTTCTTGACAGCACCCTAGTGCGGCTCATGACACATGTGAACCGACACCGAGTGACCTATCGACCAAAGCACTTGATACAAGAATTATACCCCTTTAATGAGCCATATCTTCGTCCTGGACAAACGTAAGAATATGACCGACAACACCGTTCGTGATCTCTAAAACTATAGCTTCCGAAGCCACCGATGATCTCTTTCATGTCGGAGCCGCGACCCATCACCGAGCGGGACACACCGCCAGCCTCGCCAAAGCGTCAGAGGCACAGACTTGCACTCAACAGAGGCTCAAAACCCCGCCCTATCAGTCCCCGTCCTCTTTGTGCGGATGCGAGGTCGCCGCGATCCCCTCGGGCCCCCCCGCATCGTTTACACCTAGGCTCGACGAGGCCTCGTCGTCGTCCCCCTTGGTCTCGTCCGACGAGCCGGCCCGGATGAGGGGCGGCGTCCACTGGTCGGGGACCATGACGAAGTAGGTGGACATGGCCTTGCGGAAGCGCTTCTTGTACTGCTTGGGCGAGATGACGGTCGGCGCCGCGTTCTTGGACCCGCCCAGGATGCCGCTGGCCTTGACCCACGTCTCGAGGTGCTTGTCCCACGTGTACTGCCGGAAGAAGTCGATGATGCCCAGCACCAGCTCGCACCGCTCCTCGTCCACGCCCACCAGCAGGCTGTAGTCCATCACGTACACGCTCTGCGCACCGCCAATCACCGCAACCCGTCAGAGTCGCACACAGCCAGACCTGGACACTTACCGCTTACCGCAAGAACAGAAACCGAAAGGGGCGCGCAGTGGCAGAGGGTAGAGTGACCAAAAGAAAAGGTGTGTGGAATGCAACAACACAAAGGAACCAACCGAAAACTCTCCTTTTTGTGGTCCTTCCTGAAATCAGGGAGCAATCCTAAGCAGGCTTGTTTGCTGTCGCAGAATCTACTTCAACCTTTTCCGGTCTGACTTCACATCACAAAAACCATGCCTAGTCCAGCGAGCTATAATCAAACGGATCACAACTCAGATACTCTCACGTCGTCAATCTCATCTTTTCCTTTATGTACGTGTCTCAAGGCGGCAAAAACCTGCCGACAACGCCGTCGAAGCGCAATGACTACAAACGGTGGGTCTGGTCCGGAGCCCAAGCGCAGGCGAAGGAACACGCAGGCGGGCTGTGGGGCGTACCGCAAGGAACTGGGTGTCGTTCCAGACGGCGCGCTCGAGGAGGCGCTTGCCCTTGTTGCCGACGAAGATGGGGTCCGTGGGCATGGCCTCCAGCAGGTTCTCGTCCAGCAGCACGCTGTTGCGCCCGCTCGCGTCCGCGTTGTAGCGGCTGCGCGTGCTGCCCTTGAGGTCGTAGATGCGCGCGATGCGCCGCCCGTACAGCAGGTTCTCCATCACCACCACGTCCATGCGGCTCTCGCGCCCGCTCTTGGCGTGCTTCGCGTGCACCTGCGCAGCAACCACGACCGCGAATCAGCGAGTGGTCCGGAGGGGACTACCTCGTAACGTACGTTGTTTGTGCTCCCATGGCTTACATGTGGAAGTACCCAAGAAACAATTCCTCGCTACACTCCTCGCTTGACTTGCGAAACTTCAATCGTGTAACAAGCCAAAACAGATATCATGCTCAAGTGCCCAGCAATCAGCTGCCCCTAAAGTAAAGAGCTCACTCACTCCGTATTTAAATCCCTTACGGATAACTTCAACGCAGCAGCTGAACGAAAGTGAGCTAGAGCGGGCATGACGGCCTGACCTGGTAGATGCCGAGCGTCTTGGCGAGGCAGGTGGGGGCGCCGGTGGAGAGCGCGTCGGAGAGGTACTTGAAGTAGTCGGGGCCGAACTCGAGGAACGACAGCAGCTCCGTGCGCGTCACCTGCTTAATCACGAACCGGTCGTCGAGCGTCTTGGCAAAGAAGACGTTGCTCTTGCCGCCCGACGAGTGCCACTTGCGGCACCGGCAAAGCGAGCGCGCAAAGTCCAGGTCGCCCCCGCAACACTTCCTGCAACGAGCATAATGTCGGGGGTGAGCTTGTCTGGTGAGATGCTATGAAGGTCAGACACACAAAGACAGATCATATCCTTTGCTGAAAGCGCAACCTTGCATCGTTTCCAAGACACACTCGTTGATTACCTTCAGAACCGCGGCCAATGGGGCCTGCCTGCTTTGACATAAGAGCAGGCTCGCCACACCCAGACCTTCCTCCATAGGATTGCCATTTTCATTTTTCCTAAAGAGCAATTCTCCTCCACGCATGACCATCATTGCTGAAGGATCGGCTCACCTTCGCAGCGCCTCGAACTGGCGCGCGTAGTAGATGGTCACCGAGAACTTGACCTTCCCCTGCGGCGCGTCGTCCGTGAAGCTCGTCTTGATGTGCACAGGCTCCATCGACAGCAGCGGGTCTTCCACCTCGCCGCGGTCCGCCCCCTTCTCTCCGTCCTTGCCCACGCCCTTCTTGTCGCCTCCACCACCCGCCTCCTCGTTCCCCTCCCCCTGCTCCGCCCCGCCTTTTCCCCCCTCGCCGCTCTCGCGCGACAACGACGTCTCCCGGCGGCTGCGCCCGTTGGCCGCCCCCCGCAGCTGCGCCTGGTAGTCCTCGCTGCACAGCGCATACGCAATAACGCTGCTCGGCTCGTCGTCGTATACGGCGACCACCACCTCGTCGTGCCCCACCGGCAGCATGATCCGCGCGCCCCCCTGCGCCGCCACCTGCGCCGCGTGCGACACCACGCTCGGCATTGCGCCCCCTGCCGCTCCACCCGCAGCGTCGCGCGGGGGCGACGTCGGCGCGAGCGCGGCCTTGTACAGCGTCGAAAACGCCCACGCGCTGCGGTCCTCGTCGCGCGCCTCTTCGCCCCGCTTGCTGGGCGATGTGGGCGCGCTCGGTGCCGCAGATCCGGTGTCAGCGGAGTCCGACTCCGAGCGCTGGCTTGCCGTTGGGGCAGCCCCACTCTCACCCTGCTGCTCGGGCGCCTCTAGCGGGACCGCCACTCCTTCCGTGCCCTGCTTCTCAGCGAGGGCCGCAGCAACGGCGGGCATGTCCCGGGGGGCTTCCCCCGTCCAGGCCGCGTCGAGCGTAGCCGACAGGTCCGCGAGGATCGGCAGGTGGCCCTCGGACAGCACGCGCCGCACCCCGAGCGCCCCCGACTGAACCGGGTCCGGGCTCTGCTGCGGGCCGCCCTCCAACTCCCCCGGCGCTGGCCAGCTCGCGGTCGGACCCGCCGAGTTGGTGCGGTACACCCCAGCGTCCGCGGGACTGAAGTCGCCGCGCAACTCCCCCCCCCGACTTTCCTCGCCTGCCGGCTGCTCTACGCCAGCGTCGCCCCCCGCTTTCGTCCGTGCACCCACGCTTTCCGCAATCTGCTCGAGGCGCTCCACTTGGGCGCGGTCCCAGCTCTGTTTCGGCCGGCACGCCGTCGGGCTGGCCACGTTGTCGCTGCCTCCGTGCGCCTGCGCTATCGCGGCCGCCACTAAGTCCTCCTCCGCGCGCAGGTCCGCCAGCTCCTCGCCAGCTTTGCCCTCCCCGCTCAACGACTCCCCCGCCAAGAACCGCTCCACCACGGCCCCTGCCCGCGCAACTAGGTCTGCCACCTGCGTGCCGCTGGTCTCGTCAGCAGGGGCCGCGTTGGCTGCCAGGCTGTCCTGCCGGTCCTGCTCCACGATCCTGCCCTCCACCAGCGACTTGGCCTTTTCGTCGCTGAGCAGGGGCGCTGGCAGGGCGCCCAGGATGTTGGACCCCTGCACAAAGCTCTCCAGCACGTGCTCCCCGCCCGCCACCTGGCGCACATGCGAACTTCCAGCGCCGACACTATCCACTGAAGATGGAGCGTGCTCCAGTCCATCGGCTTTCTGGCTAGCCTTATCCTTCTCGCTGCTCGTTTCTTTCGTCGCCTCGGCACCTGTCACCTCACCTACTTTCGCGCTCTTCGCATCACTGCCTTCCTTGCTCGCGCTCGCTTGCGCGACGCCCTCACTCGCGGCATCCCCGTCTCCCTGCTTTTCCTCCCCCTGGCCGCCATCTGTTTTCTCCGTCCCCTCTGCCCCCTCTTTGCCCTCAATCTTCCCCTCTTTCTCCGCCTGATCTGCTGGGGGCGGCGACGGCCCCCTGGACGCGAGGAACAGTGCATGGTCATCCAGCGAGCTGGGCCCCTCGGCGCGGGTCGGCTTGCGCAGCTTCAGACTCGACGCCAGGTAATGCAGCCGACTGTCCCACTGGAACGACCCGATTGCCAGCTCCCGCCGCAAGCGGTTCAGCTCGAGCACGTCGGCGATGGGCTCCCCCGGGGCCTGCTCCACCCCGCCCGTGTGCTGCGGCATCTTCTTTGAAATCTCGAAGAGGTGCTCCTCGAACGCCGCCTTCTCTTTCACCAGCAGTGCCTCCAGCTCCACGATGCAGCGCCGCGCTTCGGGCGTCGTCGTGCGCCCCGCCTGCCCGCACAGCCGCTCGCCGATCACGCGCAGCGTGTCCAGCACCTCCGCAAACACGAGCTCCGCCTAGGGGGCACACAAGAAAAGAGGGAGTCAGCACAGAGCACCGAAGACCATTGCGCAGTGAGCTCAAATCGTAACAACGAAATTAGATGTTTTAGCAACCAAAGCTGTCCACAGTCTCGAAGCATCAGTGCACCTGACAAGTTGGTAGAAACTCAAACGTGCTGTGTACTTTCTCTGCTGTCTTGCTCCTTGCACAATGTCCTTGTCTACATCCAAACGCAACCGTATTCCCTTGCATGACAAGCACGAAGAACGCGTGTGCGCACCTTGTCTGCCACGTCGTGCACCTCTTCGACGAGCCACTGCTGTTGGCTGGGGTTGTTGAACTCGAGGCGCGGGTCCGGCAGGTGCACCGCGTGCAGCAGAATGGGTGCATACCGGAAGCACGCAATCATGCCCTCGCACCCGTAGAAGCGCAGGCAGTCGCGGTGGATCGAGTGACCGCAGCTGGCAAGCCGGCTCGCCGCCACGTGGTTACTGAATGACAGCTCCAGAAATTTGCCGAATGAGAGACTCGACGCCGCATCCGACATCACCACGCGTTTGCTGCTGGGGGGCAGCCCATTCACGTCGCGCGGGCAGCGCAGGCAGCGGTGCCACATCCAGATGCGCGGCTCCCCGCTGGACGTGCCCGCGGGGAGGGTCTGCCCACGCTTCAGGCGCCGCACCGAGATAGTCAGGCTGCCCTGCCGGTGCGTGTAAGTGCGCACGTGCGCGTCGCTCGGCTCGTCGCAGCGCGGGCAGCGGTGCCGCTGCGAGACAGGTACAAGTGCGTCAGTCTTGGAGACAAACAAAATGGCGGGAAGGTGCCAGAGACAAGAACATGCAAAGTGCATTCCTTGTGACAACGGGGATGGATTCGATGGAGTACAAAATTGGAGAAGCAGCCAACCACTTTCCGTAAGGACAGCGGCAATGCATGCTGGGCTCACAACGTTGGCAGAACAATGTTCAAACAAGCTTCAAGAACAGCTCTGCTACGACGATTTCACCCAGGGGCCAAAGCAGCTTACGACCTGAGCCAGACTCTCACCGTGTTGAAGAGGCCGTTGCGCAGGAAGTGGCCGAGCGGCATGTCGGTGCTGCCGTAGTACTTGATGCGCACCAGGTGAGCGCGGTCGCAAACGGTGCCCTTGGACAAGCACCGGCTGCTCAGCGACACCAAGATACTCTGGTGCTCGCTCGGGGACGGCGCCACTTTACTGAAGGACCCCAGAGGGGTCCCGCACGCATCTGACACCTGGTCCAACGCCAAGCCCCCATTGGCTAGACCTTTGCCAGGGCTGCCTACAGGGAGGGGCGTGACAGTGTGGGGTAGCGCTAGAAGTTGAGCTGCCCTTTGTTCCTCGGACTGGAGGGACAAGGCGGCGGGGCCGTTGAAAATAGCGCCCGGCAGCGCTTCTTTCAGCTCGCGGCTGGAGGAGGAGCGCAGCAGGGGGGTTGCTGTGGGTGCATCGGAGGAGGGGTGCAGTGGTTGAAACGAAAAGTCCTCCGACTTCGCCGAGTTCGCTGGCTCCAGCAGGGAGCCGCCATCAGATGGAGGGGTCACCAGTGCGCCCTGCTTTGGTTCGGTGGGTGCGGGGCTGAGGGACTGGGAGGGTACCGGCTTGGGGGACGAGGGAGCGGAGGATAGGCCCGACACTGACTGAGGTGCCGGGCTAGACACGACCTCAGGTCCTGCAGGCACCTCTGGGGGCCACTTGTGAGAAAGCGGGGTATCCGGGCTCTCCTCAGGAGGGAACGAGACGTTGGGCGACACTGACAGAATGGGCAAAGGCTGTCGGCGGGTCTGGCGCAGGCGCGCGGAGGGCCCGTCGCTGGTGAGGTGCGCCGCGGAGAGGGGGGAGTTCTGGCTGAAGCTGCCAGTGAGGTACTCCCCCCCGCTGGAGGCCGAGGGGCTGGGCTGGATGTACAGTGGGGCGGGGCGCGAAGAACGCAAGGAGGCGAGGAAAGCGGAGGTGCTGCTGGTAGGGAGCGTGGCGCCCTCGTCCGCCAGGAAGGAAGTCTCCAGCGACAAGTGGTACGCAGCGAAGGCAGCGAACTGGGTCACGCGCTTGACGCGCTTGAGCTCGTCGCCAGATGCGCCCTTGAGCAGGATCTGCCCAAAAGGGAACGAGCGAATCAGGGTGCCTGATACTCTCGACTGTTCTGAAAGAAGGTCCATTGAAAAGACGCCCTCTCGAAGACTCCCCCGTGTCATTGAACATTCATTATTCCATTTAATACCTGGGCGCTCCCTGAGCGACTTCCACATAATACAAAGAATCTAGGAAACAAGGCGTCTTGAAGCAGATACATTTTGGGGAGAGATGCGTTCACCAGAATCTCTGGAGAGATGGGTTCACAAATTCTCTTCTGAGCTTCCTGGTTATAGCCTGCCCAGAATTAGCAAAGCAAGCCTGAGCAGCTTGATATTACAGTACAGTTGTATCACAGCAGCCTGCCTGCATTCTGTCGCATAATGCACGCCGTGAGCTACTTACTGTGCAGCCCAGCGGCTTGAGGCAGCCCTCAAAGTACATGAGCGTCTTGGTGCCCTTGCGCCCCTCCTGCCCCGCGCTGCCGTGCTCCTCCACAAAGCGCTCCACATGGAACATCTCGCAATGCCCAATCTTGGGCGCCACCAGGGGGTCCCCTGGAGGCATGATCTGGCCCCCCGTGCAGCGCGAGATGCGCTCCATCAGGCCAGGCTTGAGGTTCAGCACCTGGGGCGCAAAATACCCAAGTGCAAGTCAGCACCCGAGACTCTCTTGGAAAGACATCAGCGTGACCTCAGCGCGACCAGAGTGTGCTTACTATACTGAGCGACCACGTGGTATGGCCAGCAAGAAAACCTCAGCCCTTGCAGAATCTTACAGAACGCCGACAGCCCTGCTCATGAGTGGCAAGGTAGCAACTGGCACTCTAGGCACCTAAAGAGCAGTAATAGCATGTCAACAGCAGTTAGACAATCTAGTCTGGCCTTGCACCTGTCGCAACACACTTCCTTCAAGATCTGAAGCTTCTTCTAGTTCCCCCCAAGAGCATGCTCACCAGCGAGATCTGGCTCTGCAGGAGGCGCTCCTGCGCGTAGCCCGAGACGGCCTTCTCCACGAGCAGCACATCCGGCTTGTGCTGCTCGATGCGCGCCACGAGCACGTTCAGGTGCTCGCGCTCCTGCTGCAGCACCTGCTCCAGGCTGCTCAGCTGGCCCGCGCTGCGCTGGTACTCCAGCGCGCCCCCCAGAAGCAGCAGCCGCGGGTTGCGCTTCGGGTGGCTCATCCGCCGGTGCGCCACGTTCTTGCGGCACACCACCCCCTTCACGACGTCGCTGTCGCCCTTTGTCCCCGTCCCCACGCACTTCACCTTGATGTACCCCCCCGGGTCCATTGTTCCGGTCTTCTTCTGATCCAACCGAATCATGCTCGCCGCACGCGATGCCAGAGCGGCCACAATGTCGAGCCAACCTTCGCTGTCGCCCCCCCCGCCAACGGGCAAACCTTCCGCGCTCAGTAGCTGCGCAACCAGCGCACGGAAATGGTCGTCACTGACGGAGCGCAGCACCTTCTTGTGCATCTCGCTTGCAGTGCTCTTGCTTGACCGCGAGTTTCTTCGCAGCCGCCGCCGACGCCGTGCCCGTTCGCGCTCCTTCTCGTCCCAATCATCGTCCTCGTCGTCCTCCCCTTCCCAGCCCCCCTCCTCGTTATCTTCTTCGTCCCCCCCCTCATGGTCCTCCTCTGGCGGCACTTCCTCCTCATCGGACTCGGGGGCTGGCGGCACCCAGAGCTGGCTGTTGTCACTGTCTTCCACAGCCAGGCTGCAAGTGAAACAAGAGCCATGCTTTCACTTCGAAAAACCCACTTCCAAGAGAAAGGGCATAAAGTGGCGCGCAAAGAATCCAAATTGAAAGAAGTATCAAGACAAGTTAGCACACCGACTTTTCCAAGCAAAAGGCCTGTTTTAATCTGGGGGGGGAGCGGAAGTCTTCAATTGTCGGAGTCAGATTGAAGGATGTGTCATTGTAAGTGCCCCTCAACAGCGAGTGCCTGTTGCGTGCCGCATCGCCAGAGCACCAATGCCTCGGCCAAATGAAAAGACGTTCTTTGACTCAGTCAAAATACCTTCACTCGCTGCCCACCCCCAGAATGCATCTTTCACTCTCTCACCTGCGTTGATCGGGCTTGGGCCGCTCAACCGTCTCCCCAGCATCCGCGTACAACGAGCCAAAGTCATGGTTCGTTGCATCATCGTGCAGTGCAAAGCTGTCCGCGTCCAGGCTGTCTTGGCGCATGTGACACCCCGGGTTCAGCGCCGCCTCCGCACTATCCTGCCGCGCATGCTTCAATCCACCCCCTTCCCCCGACGCGCTCGGCGCAGTAGGGGGCCGTGGCGGCAGCTTACTAGAACCATGAGCGCCGTCCCCTGATCGATGGGGCTCCCCTTCCCCTGTCCCAATTGCAGATGCCCGGCTCGCGCTTTCCATGCCAGGGGGGCCCTTTTGGTCCTCAAGCACTGGCGCCCCCCCCCCCTCGCCCGCCATGCCCCTTTCTGTCACTTTCTCCATGTCTGCCCCATGCCACCCGTAGCTGCCGGACCAGCCCCCGGGCCGAGCAATCCGTTCTGTGTCTGTCGTACTCTCATCGACGCTCTCATCTTCTGAGCCTAGCGAGGCATATTGCCGCTGGCGGATGCGCCGCGAGCGTGTGCGCTGCTTGGGGCTACTGCCGAGTCGCCTGGCGCGCGCCAGCTGCTTGTTGGTCTCAGCTTGCTCGTCATCATCGTCCTCTTCCTCACTCCTGGCAGGAAAGGGAGGAGCCAAGGGCTATAATGACACAACGAATCAGCAATGACTTTTGGTACAAATCTCAAATGAGATACATAATAGCAATGGAATTGCCGAGTTTGATCTCGAAAGCCACGCATCCCATCTTCCTGGCACTGATAGTCTTGTCAACTCTCGTTGACAAGACAAAGTGAAAGCCATCATGTCAGTGTCACCTCGGACCAAACAAACCACCCTAAGAACTGACAACATATCCAACCTGGGTGCTCCTACAGAACCAGCCAATTGCCAATTGATGGACCGGTGGGTGACCTGGCCACATGTCTTCCTTGGATCCTTCACAATTCACCACCATCACGTCAGGTGACCTAGCCTCATCAAGAGGGTATCCAGCCAAGAGGGTGTCCAGCCAACACTGACAGACAGCCACAGTGGTCCTGAAGTTGATCAAAAGCGCTTTGATCCTTCCGGCCACGTTAAATAGCTCGGCACCGGCTCACCTGCTCCCATAATCCCCGGGGCTAACCGCCCTCTCCTTCCTTCTAGGCTCCCCATCCTCATGAGCCCCCCCATTTGGCAACCGCCGCCTCCAGCTCCCCCCATCTGCAATGTCCACAGCATGTGACGAAGCCCCACCATCTCCCCCCCTCTGTCTTATCAGGCCATTGGCATGTTGAGGGCTGTGCCGCCCGTTGCTGTCAACCTCTGCTGCGTCCAGACTGCTCCTGCTCCCATCCCCCCTGCTCTGCTGCTTGCGCAGGTTGTAACAGAAGTTGCAGACCCGCGTCTGGGACCCGCTCTCTCCGTCTGACTTGTAGTAGCTGGCCGCCTCGTCCCCAGATGGGCCCGGCCCAGCCACCGGCAGAGTGTGCTTGGTGCACTTTGAACAAAAGCCGCGCCCACACAGGCCGCAGTACTGCCGCCTGTTGAACAACGTGAACAGGGCCTGGCACTCGTAGCAGCTCCCCTGGTCTGCCGCCCAGTGATGGTTGCCCGCGTCCGTCTCCTTCTTGGAGCCCGGCAGCCACGCGCGCCACCCCGCAAGCGCATCATTCAAATTGCTGCCGCTCTTGCTCCGCTCCTCCATGCTGCCGCTGCTGACTGCCTACATGTCAGGCCAACGGGTCACACAGCTTACTAGGTCACAGGCACCAGAATCAACCAGGAAACCTGATCCCAAGCAAGACTTGCTCTGCTGCGCCCAGTATCATTTTGCACCCTCTTGTTGGCGTCATCCAAAGCAGCCTCTCTGCACAGCTACAATTCTGCAAGGTACTTCCCAATTGAGTCGCCATATGTGGACAATGGACCAAATCAAGGTATGCTTTGTCAAATTAGGTCAACAATAAACCTACAGAATGCCCCACAGAGTCTGCACCCGTCCCATTGTGCAGGCTCCCTTCCCCAAAGAGAGTGTGACGCCCTTTGCTGCAAAAGTCTGCACCCATATTGGGGAGACTACTTTCAAGCAGCTCCGATTTGTCCTCGTGCTGTAGCCTATCTCCAGGCGCCTTATCGACTCGACTATGGAAAAAGCATGCAAACGGACGCTTTTCACCGCAGTTGTCCAGGATACTTCAAACCTGGGGATGTACACCTCAGCTCCATCTGTTTCAGTGTTTGTGCGCTGAAGCCCACTTGGGAAGAGACGCACTTTCAAATTCCATCCGGTTCTTGCAGGGGGCCTTTCATCAGTGATGAGTCATCATGGGCGCCACCTATGCAGCTCTTCTATGCAGTGCGCCACCTTCCGAGATGCTGCTGCAGCAGGCGGTCCAGGCCTCGGATCACAATTCACGGTTTCAACTTTCACCGTTTCACGGTTCACCTTGTCTACACTGATGCAAAGTTGAAACCCGCAAACCAAGCATCACCGTCCGGTCGCCACGCTGGGGGCGACCGACCAGCTAGCGCTGCGGCTTTGGATATCGCCGAGCATGGCACGGTACTGGTGCACAGTACATAGACGGTACATGTTTTTGTGTACATGTAGTAGTTATAGCTCGAGGGGGAGGGGATACGAGCGATATCCAGCTCCCGAGGCGAGATATCCCCCGAGGGCGGGAGCCCGAGGGGGATAGACGCCGAGGAGCTGGATGTCGCTCGTATCCCCGACCCCGA